TTATAATTTTTCAAAATCTGGAAAATTTTAAAAAAAGTTTTAAAAAAATTTCAGACAAAAACATTGTTAGTTGTTGATAAACGGATAATGATAATAAATCATATCATCAACTATCAATGATAAAAAATTTTTTCAAAAATTTAAATAATATTGTTGAAATGATAATTTCAATTAATTTGCAATTTGAAATTAATAACTGCAGCGAGTGTGCATGAATCATCACAAAATGTGAGCAAAAGAACCAAAAAAAAAGTTTGACATTAATTACTTTGATCGTACACTGTGACACAATATGAAATTTTTTAAGTATTATAAAGTTAAATCTATTAAATGCATTTAGATAATAAACTATAAATTTAATTATTTAAATTTTATTTATTATACAAAACTTAATGATAAATGAAATTTTTCATTGATACAACAAAATTTCATTCTTTTCATTTACCAAAATAAATTAAATTTAAAAAAAAAAAAAAGTAGTACAATAATGAAAGAATGAAGAGATGCAACTTTTGATGAATTAATTTTATTTAACAATTTAATGATTAATTTGCAGTGGAATTGGTCATAAAAAAAATTTTTTTCCCTCTCTCTCTCTTTCTCTCTTTTTGACCTCATTCTTTAATATATTGTTTAAATTGTTCAATGATGAGTAATTGTTTTGTTGAAAGAATCAATGATTTTTCATAAAAATTTTAATATTATAATTAAAAAGATATTTATTTACTCTTTTTCTTTCCTTTTTGCTACTCTCATTTTTATTTTTAATTTATTTTTGATGGAATAATAAGTAAAAATTTAATGAAATCTTTTTCATCCATTAATTTTTATAGCAAATCTCTTTGGTAGCTTATTGAAATTTTTCATATTTAATAAAAAATAGAAAAATAAAATACAAAAATCGAATGCATTTTAACTTTTCAAATTTTGTAAACTAAATTTACTTATGCTTACTTAAATTTTTTAAAAGTTAAATTGTATACATATGAAATTGCATCGCTATATGCTATTTTCATGCAAAAGTTACTAAAATTATAGTTCATCATTTCAGGATGGAATATTTGAAATTTAAAATGAAATTAAATATCAATATAATTTAATTATTCTCTCTTTTTATACCAGAAAAATTAATTAAAATCAATTCTGTGATCAGCTAAAATAATTTAATACTAAACACTGAAAATAATTGAAATTAATGCATGAAATTTCATTAAACAACTTCAAATTGCTGTATATTTTTCAAATATCAATTGTCAGAAATTATTTTGACAAAATTGCAGAGATATTAAAATATTTTGATTAATTTAAAGATTTGTAATTATTAGCTATAATTATTAGCATCACACTGATCTATGCTAATTGATTAGAGAGACAAAATCTTTATTAATGAATTAATATGTCTACCGGATTTCAACTGAACACTTACTATATTTTATATTACTTTTTTCCGGCAGTACATTACTGTGAATTTAATAATCTGAAAATTATTCAACCGTGTCAGTAATCTGAAGAAATGCAATCAATTAATGAATATTATTGATGAATTATTATTTTAATATTTAAAATGAATAAATTGAATTAACCTAAAAGTAATTAAAACAATCTTTCAACATTTCAAATATGTTTGATCACTATGATAATATCATATGATAACGAAGTATTTGTATATGATTTCATTTCTAATAATATTCTGTTTATTTGTTTATAGAACCAACTTGGTGTAATTATTGTTATTTATTATTATTATCACTAATATTATTGTCATTGTTATTATTACTATCTATTATCATTATCATTGTTGTTATTATTATCAACCATTGACTCAGCTTTCATTTTTCTTTCTTTTCATTTCATTCTTTCCCAAAAACTTTTTTTTAAATTTGCATCTTTAAAATTTCATAAGGCATAAAATAGTGCAAGCAAGCAAAAAAAAAAAAAGAACAAATAGTGCCAATATTCTCAATTGCACTTTTTTTTTATAATTTTCTGTTAACCTTTGACATCTACTTTCTAGTTTCCATTAAAAGTTTGCATATACACTTAAATATTTGCATATTACACTAATTTCTTGCGGAATAAAATCATTGCTTCAGAAATGATAGTTGTAAAACTTTCTGCTCATAGTTATATGAAATATTTCCAACATTTGAATAGAATAAGTAAAAGTTAAATTTTGAAAAAAAAAAAAAAAAAATTGAAATTTATGCAAAAAACCAATCATTCATCAAATTTCTCCTGAATTGCTGTTGTATTAGTATCAGAAAGAAAAGTAAATTTAATAAAATATTACAAATTTCATTTGTAAAACAATCCGATAATCATTTAAAGTATGAAAAATTCTTTTCAATAATAATTCAACAATTCAAAGTTAAACTTTTAAAAATTAGGAATCAAAATTAGAATTGAATTGATTCGATTTGATATTATTGCAGTTTTCTAAATTAATAGATTTAGCTTTTCCCTAAATTAAAATATAAATAAAAAATTGGAGGTGGACGCAATTAATTGCTGATGCCTAATTACCTATGGTCTAATTAGTTGGGTACAGCAATTCGAAAACATAGGTATAGGTGTGTTTAGTAGAAAATTTAATTCTAGCTTAGCTTTTAATTAATCTCAATTTTAATTACTTCAATTGATTTTAAAATTATCAACGATAATGAAATAAAAAAAAAATTAATTATCACTTATGAAATAAAGCTAATTACTCTGTAAATAACTGATAACATATGATATTAAGTATTACTTAGCATTGACTGCATTAAAAAGGATAAAATTCCAAGTAAATCGACGAATGTTTAGTGAATTAATTTCAATCAAATATTAAAAATCTTTAAAATAAATATTAAAATTCTTCAAATATAAATAAATTAAAAAAAAAATAAATAAAATAAAAATTTTTGCATAAAATCAAAAAAGGACAAATTCCTTTCTTATTTAAAACAAATAAATTTTTTTTCAAATAATATTAAAAAAATTAGCATAAAATATAATTTCTAAATAATAAGGCCCAATATTACAGGCAAAAAAGTGAAATTCAAAAATGAGTCCAAACAGATGTTTGATTATTTTTTTTTAAAGCATTTTTTCAATTTTATATTACTCGCAAACATTACAGCGATAATTTTTGAAGTTTTAGAAAAACAAAACAAAGATAAAATGTTTTGTAATTAAGAGGTAAGAATAGTAAATTTTAATTTTAATAGAACTTATAATAACATAGAAATGAAGTAACTATTTAAAATAACTAAATGATTTTTTTACAAAAATAAATTTTTTTTTTGTTTGTACAAAATTTAGTCTAATAACTGTATTTTTTCTTCAGTTTACTTTATAACTTACCAAAAAATTTAAATCTAAGTTAGTTTGATTTCATACTCTATGCAGAATATACATACTTAAGTAAATGGTCAAATTTACAAAAGTACATATGTGAAATCCGAATGAACTAAAACTGCTTCCGGATAAAATAATTTTATTTACAAGTGAAAATGTTTAGCTTTAAAATCAACACTATTTATTTATTTATATTTTTTTTTTTTTTTTCAAAAGTACACTCATCTTAAATCTTTTGTCAACTCAAAAGTATCATCAAAAACTTCTGAGTGTAAAAAAAAAAAGAAATATTCAAAAAAAAAAAAAAAAAAAAAAAGAACTCAGTTGACAATAACTTATCAATTACATTTTATTGTTTGAGGACAAATAAATTAAAACTTCACAGTTGGTATTATTTAAAAAAATACATTACTATTTTATAGTTTAATTTAAAAAAAAAAAAAAATGAAATTTACATTTGTTTAATTTGTTTTTTTTATTAATAATGTAAAAATATAAGAGATTTGAGAGAAATATCCAAGAGATTTCTCGAGATTTCTCGCTTTGCTATTTTTTTCATTTAACTTAATTTTTTTGCCGATCATATCAAAATTCTTTTTTAAACCATTTTTCATTTCCGTTTTCATTCGTAAATATAGAAAATCAATTGTAATACTTATATCTCCAATAAATTTTCCGGTGAACTAATCAGATGATCTTATCATTAAAATTATCATTGTACTATATTTGTCGAGAACAAGCTCGAAATAATCTTTGTACCGAACAATCGAATTTAGCAAAAGGTCAAATTTAAATCAAAGTATTTATATTTAAGCAAATCATGTTAATCATTTATTGTAAGTTTTATTGTAATTCAAATTCCTTAATGACTCATAGATGGTAATGTGTTAACAAATTCCCATGCTAATCTGTCATATTATCTAATGCACATCTGTTCCAATCCTTATTTGTTATCTAATTCCGTTTACAAAAACTATCTTTCCCATAGCCTTCTTGCTAGCTTCCATTTTATCAATCGCTTTATCTCTCCACCCTCAAATCATCCTATATAAGGGCAATTACCACTCAACCTGGGGCAGTCTTCCCAGTCTCCCCGTTGCTTAGCTCATCCTCCTCACTAAATTGTCCTACTACTGATTGCTTGTTTGGTTTAATTACCCAAGATTGAGCACTCGACTCAATTGTGCAAGTAAACCAACCCAATCCAATCCATTCACAACAAATTTATGGTGCCCGAGGTGAGGTACGAACTCACGACCTTCAGATTATGAGACTGATTTAACCGTTGTAATATGAACTCCGAATCATTTTGATACATTTTTAAAATGACTACAGTTTGTTTTGCTTGTAAAATTAAGTTGGTAATACCTGATTCATCATCGTTTATCTGAAGGTATCGATCTTCTTCTTCTTTTCTTTTGGTTGAGACTGAAATCTGCTGGATGAATTGTTTCCACTCTGTATTGACCGATTCCAACGCCTCTATGTATATTTGGATATGCATGATTTTTTCTTGGGTGATCCTTCTCCGTTCCTGATGAAGACGGATTGTTTCGTCGGTTGTTGTCATTTGGTCAACCGAATCCAAGTTCAGACGCTTGATTTCGTTGAGGACTCCAATCCAATCCATTCACAACAAATTTATGGTGCCACGAGCCGGGAACATGTCATCCATCATCATCAGAACCGCAGACCAAACAAAACGAAGATTGTGTGAAGTCCTCAACGAAATCAAGCGTCTGAACTTGGATTCGGTCGACCAAATGACAACAACCGACGAAACAATCCGTCTTCATCAGGAACGGAGAAGGATCACCCAAGAAAAAATCATGCATATCCAAATATACATAGAGGCGTTGGAATCGGTCAATACAGAGTGGAAACAATTCATCCAGCAGATTTCAGTCTCAACCAAAAGAAAAGAAGAAGAAGATCGATACCTTCAGATAAACGATGATGAATCAGGTATTACCAACTTAATTTTACAAGCAAAACAAACTGTAGTCATTTTAAAAATGTATCAAAATGATTCGGAGTTCATATTACAACGGTTAAATCAGTCTCATAATCTGAAGGTCGTGAGTTCGTACCTCACCTCGGGCACCATAAATTTGTTGTGAATGGATTGGATTGGGTTGGTTTACTTGCACAATTGAGTCGAGTGCTCAATCTTGGGTAATTAAACCAAACAAGCAATCAGTAGTAGGACAATTTAGTGAGGAGGATGAGCTAAGCAACGGGGAGACTGGGAAGACTGCCCCAGGTTGAGTGGTAATTGCCCTTATATAGGATGATTTGAGGGGGAGAGATAAAGCGATTGAGCACTCGACTCAATTGTGCAAGTAAACCAACCCAATCCAATCCATTCACAACAATATTTATCGCAATTCTTCGGTACAGAATGAAATTTTGTTATCATAATTAGAAAATTTCAGTGTTTTATCAGCATTTTACTTCCATTTTTTAAATTGAATTGTTATAGCGATGATTCATTGCATTACTATTTTCTCACTGATAGCGCTGTTATCAACAAACATATTTCATTATCAAACCTGACAAGTTTATCAGCTGACTTAGTATCACTGAATGGTATCATTCACTAATTCCCATTAATGACATAAATAAGAGTTGCAATATTGCAATCGGAAATGTTGCAATGGTAAAGAATCAGAGAATTAAAATAATCATTAATTTCGATTTAAATAAAATTTTCAAGTTTGGTTTCAATTCAAATTTTATTTCAAATTTTTAATTATCATTCTTTAAATTAATCTCTTTTTTCATTCAAAAAATCTAATAGTTTGGAATGCATTTGACATCAGATAATCAATTATTATATTTCTTATTTATTAATTCATTCTACAGCTTTTACTCGTTCATAATTTTACTTTAACCTTTTATTATATTCTTGTGAAATGTTTTATTTATTTAATTTTTACACATTTTTTTTTTAAATCTTTTTTGCATTGAATTTTTGAGATTTGATTTGATTATTTTGAATTTTTCGAAATTTACAAAAAATGTTAATTTTTAACTGAGTAATACATTGTAAATGATTATTTGCCATCTTGTAAAATTGACAAACAAAAAAAAAGAGAAATAAAGTTTTAATCAAATGAATAATGCAAAAATGCTTACCAGTAATTATAGAAATAAATCAATGATTCATTTTAGCTTTAAAAATTCATCAAAAAATTGAATAATACAAAAATAATTTTTCTTAAATTAATTCCAAATGATTTATTTTAGTAGTAGAAAATGAGAAAATTTAATTGCTTAGAATAGCCTTTAGTCTAAATAATGAATGTGTCACCAAAGGCTATTTTCAAATATGATAGTCTAAAATAATTTTATACCATTCAAACATTCATTTTCTTTTTTAATTAAAAAGAAAAATATGTAAGCAAAGAATAAATGAGCAACAAAATTATTTTGAATTAAAATTTTAATCCTTAAAATTTCTTACAATTGTAATTTCCAATGTCCTAGAACAATGCTTCAATGAATTTCAATTTGAAAAATACAGATTAATTGATAATTATTCGAATAATTTATGCGTAAAAATGGTACTAATAAAGCAAATAGCAGTAATAATTAGAAGAGAGAAAGTAGTTGTTGTGACAGTTGCGCCATTGCAACTATCTGAATTACAGCAACAATATTCCGCCGCGTTATTTGCATCATAGAAACAACCATTACCAACTTTCTATAAACAAATAATTAAACATATTTTCTTTTTCCTAAAATAATAATATAAATTGATTAGAAAACAAAATTAATTATTGATTTTTAATTTATTAAATTGATTTAATCATATATTTAAAAGCTCAGTTATATATAATAAATGATCTAATATAATCTATATTATTAAATTTTATATATCTAATATAAAAAACAAAGTTAAAAAAAAAAAACTTAAGCTAAATCATACCATTTAGACTCAAATTAAAAGATTTAATTATTGATTGCTGTAATTTCTTGTTAAATTTTATGGATCGAAATATCATTTGTAATTATGCACTTCAATTTATTACAGTAAAAGAGATAATTAATTATTGATTGATTGATCATTTGACTTTTAAACTTTTTAAGTTTGTTGTTAAACTTCAATTTTAAAATTGATTAACTTTCTGAATGCAATTCAAAGAATGCAATTCAATTACGAAATTTTAATTAGCAACAAATTTAAAAAAATAAAAACAACAAAACTCACATAACATTGTGAATTCGGATCGCAAGTTTTCTCAATAACATCTTCATTATCTGCAAAAGAAGAAAATTTTTTTGCAGACAAATAAATTGATGTAAATTATTTTAAAAAAAAATCAAGATAAAAAATAGAAATTACTAATTAAGTGATTTCATTAATATTGTTGTTATTATCATTACTATTATTATTATTATTACTATTATTATTATCATTATTATCATTATTATCATCATTATTATTATTAATATTATTATTATTATCTGTACTTTGTCATTATTCATTACCAATTGTTTTGTTTTGGGAAATTTATTTCATCGCAAATATTATCACATTGTTGTTTTTCTTACATAAGACTGATATGATAAAAATCAGTTTTGTTAGATAATTATGCAAATAAATTATTATTTCTTCTTTTTTTTTTATTATTTTCACATTTTTAAGAATATGAAATGTTCAAATTTTTAGGGAAGAAAAAATAATGAAATAAAATAAATAAATTTTTTAAGATGAATTGAAATGCTATATTTAATAATTTGAATAATTCTAACTTTTGTCATGATTATTAATTATACGAGAGAGGGAAAGAGAGAAAGAGGTGGGATAAATGATTATAAATATGAAATAATTAATTACATAAATTCATCATAAAATTTGATATGAAATATTTTTTTTCTATATTTTAAAAGCAAAGTAAAAAAAAAAAAATGTTCTTTTATGATTAATATTTCATTTAAAATCACTTCAAAAACTATTTTAATAATTTAATTATTGATATTCTGATTGTTCCTTATATTAATTCAATATTTATTATTTTAATTTTTCAAACTTACATTGAATTGCAAAATGTCTTTTAACGCAAAAGTTTGATGTCGCAGGGCATAAAACCTCGGCGAATGATCCGCCATTACCCAATGCGCCGAAATATTGTCGTCCAACAAAGCATTTTAATGCATCACTTGTTGTTATAAGCATTGCCAGTAATGGTATTGGATAGAAAATAAATTTTAACATAATTTACTAAAAGAAAGTAACAAGAAAGAAAGAGAGAAAGAGAGAGAGAAAAGAAAGAAAGAGAGAGAGAAAAAAACAAAGTGGAATAAATGATTATAATTATAAAATTAATTAATTACATAAAATCATCATAAATCAATATGAAATTTTGTTTTTATTTTTTAAAAGCAAAATGAAAATATGTTATTTTATGATTAATATTTGATGTAAAACCACTTCAAAAAACTATTTTAATATTTTAATTAATGATATTCTGATTGTTCCTTGCATTTCTTTTTTCCATATTTTTGATAATAAATGTAATAAACTATTATTACTTATAACTAAAATACAATTAAAAAAAAAAAAGTTAATTGAAAAAAAATTAACTAACTACTATTATTTATTACTAAATTATGATTTGAAAAAAGAGAATAGCTTAATTCATTTCATTTTTTGAAGATTTGATTTAAATTGAATAACAGTGTGCTACATTTTTATACACTCTCTACGCATGCATTCATTTATTAATAACAATTATAATTTAAACTATATAAATTAGGCTAACTTAAATTAATATTAAATTAACTTATACTTATTTTTTATTAAATCATATGTAGATTTAAATTTTTGTTTTGATATTTTTATGATTAAAATAAATTAAATGATAGAAATTTGTTGCTAAAATTCTTGCTAAAAATATTTAAAATTCAGCAAATTTTTAAAGCAATAAAATGATTGGTTAAAAAAAAAAAAAAAGAAAAAGGATATATAAGTAAGTAAGAGAAAATGGAATGGTATAAAAATAATGTGAATATGTTGTCAACTATTATACTGCTTTTGATGAATTCCTGAAAGTGCTTCTCGGAACAGGGTGACAGGTGACAAAACATAGCAAATGCATAATATCGAGAATAACTTCAAACAGTCGTTTTATTTTCATCTATTAGGCTGTACATTAAGAATAGTTTTAAGTTAATAAATGAAATAATCATTTATGTGCTTCAATTTCTTATCAGCAATCAATCGAATCAGTTAAAAAAATTTTTTTTTTGGTATCTGAAAAATTTCGAATTAATTTGTAAAAATGTTGGTTAAAAAAAAATAAATAAAAGGCAAATGAAAACAATAAATATGTTAAAATTTTAAAGCTTTAATTATTAATACTCAATTATCAATACTTAACTTATATACATTAAAAATAACTGAGGAAAAAATATAATGCATGCGTATTCACACGTTCATGCATATATTTATTGACGTGCACACGTAAGTGAAATACTTTTCATTGATAAATTAATTATGCTATAATTAATCATAATAGCAGTTATATTAATTATCAATTCTTAATTTTCCACTGAATTTATTGGGCAATTAAATTTATGGAAGAAATTAAATTTAATATTATGAGATGAAAAGAATCGTTTCAAATTGTTATTGAATGAAATTTCATCCAAAATTTAAATTCAATTTCAATTTACACAACAATTTTTTTCATCCATTTTCTATTTCATTGATAAATTGTAAATTCCAAGAATACGACTGTTGCATTAAGGCTTTCGAACATACTTTAGTGATAAGAATTTTTTTTTTTTTTTTTTTGCCCTAAAAGATATGATTTAATCATACTAAGTGCAAATGATTGCTGATAACAAGTATATTTGATTTTTATCGTTGGCTAAAATTTCTATTTATTTTTTAAAATAAAAAAATTTACAAATTATTGAAGAAAGTTTGAGAAAAAATTGTTATTACAAATGACAACAATATATTTTAATAATAAAATACATTTAAGTGCAAATTAGAAAACAATATGAAAGAGGTACTAAATGAAAAAAAAAAAAAAAAAAAAGAAGAAAATTTATAATTTATTTATGTTTATTTATAAACTATTGTTCATTTATAATTTAAATCACTACCTAATTCTGATTGTTAAAAGTTTGATCAATTTGTGAAGTTTAAAATGAAATTATACTATTGTGCAAAACAAAGTTTGTTTGTGTGTTTTTTTTTTTTTTTTTTCAAATTATAAATAAACAAAAAACAAAAATAACTGAAATTATTAAAAATAGAAAATTAAAATTCGAAAATTCAAAAATATTTTTTTTTAATATAAATAAACAAAAACCTATGAATTACTAAAATTATTAAAATTTAGAAATTTAAACTGTTTTTTTGATGTGATTTCTCATTATTTTAACATATCAATTCGAAATTCTTTTCATCATTTAGCAATGAATTCATACTGCATTTGATATTAATCATAAATTTATAGTTATAAAAATAAATGTGATAATTAAACAAGGTAACCAATAATAAAGGTATGTCATCGATCCATTGCAAAGATTTGACCTACAGCAACATATTTCCATTTCATTATAGTTATCATATAAACAACGTGACCCAATAGTCTGAAAATATGTAAAAAAAAAAAACGAAAAAAAAAAAAACAAAAAAAATTATTTAAAAAAATTTGTTAAAAAAAAAAAAACAAAATATGAACAAAATTTTATTTTCATTAAAATTAAATTAATTTTTTTTTTTTTTTAAATCAAATTTTTGTTTCTCAGACATTTATTGAATTAATCAAATAAAAATATGGGAGACAGAAAGAGAGAGAGAGAGAGAAAACACCGAAAAAAAAAAATTAGTACAAAGATATGTTTGTTGAAAATGAAATTAAAATTTCAACTAACAGCGCAAAAATTTTCCGCATCACATCCTTTTTCAATAATAAGGCCCTGCACTGCAAAAAAATAAAATAAAATAAAGATAAAAATAAAAAATTGAAATTGAAAAATTTTTTTCTATTGTAATATTTTACTTATCAATTTTTTCAAATTTTTTTTTTTTTTATTTTTTTATTTTATTAAATTTGATAAGTCATCGTTTTCACTCAGTGAAATGATATGACTTGCGCTATTCATGTAGATATATACTAATTTAAAATTTTAAATTATAAGCATTTTTTAAATTCTGAAATAAATGTGATAAAATTTATCAAGTTTAAATTAACCTGGATCAATGGTTGCCATTTTAGCACAATAATTGACATTTGCGCTACATTGGGTATACATTAAGCCAAAATTTAAACGTCCCGTAAGACAGTCCAAACTATTCACTAATATCATTTGTAAAATAATTGCAAAAGTAATCAGTGTCAGGTGACACATTTCTGCTTGTTATTATAACAATAATCTAAAAATAAATTTAAAATAGTGCTCAAATTTTTAAAAAAAAAAAAAAAAAATTCAAAAAATAAAAAAAATTGAATTAAAATAGCATAAAACAAGTTTTTCTAATAAAGCATTTATAGATAATTTTACATTTTGCAATGCATACAATATTATTTTCCCAATAATCGAATTATCAAAATTTGATATATTAAATTATTTTAAAATGGAAATTAATTAATTGATATTATACGAAAATAGTTTTCAACAATTTTTGTGTTTTTTAAAACAAATCCATTATATGATTACAAATTTTTACTTGTTTTTTTAGCACATTTATTTTTGAAATTGTAAGAAAAAAAAAAGAAAAAATGAAATTGCAAACAAAAGGCTTTTAAGTATTTCATTATTTAATAATTATTCAAATTGATTTGAAACAAAAAAAAAGCTCTAAATGCATTAATGACCTAAATTGATTCAATTTGAAACTTTTGATATAAAATGCTTAGATAGAATTGATTAGATCAAAAAAAAAAAAAAAAAAAGGAAACATAAAATAAACTTCAAACAGATTATTGACATAAATAATTTGTGCAATTTAATTTAAAACAAATGTATATCCAGTTATAAATTTTACTAAAACATACTTATTTATGAAAATAAAATATTTTATGAAATTATTTCAACAATATACAAAGTAGAATAAGGGAAAAGCTGTAAAAGTTTTAAGTTTCATTCCTTTGCTACCTCTCTCTCTCTCTTTCCCTCTCTCTCTCCCTCTGTCCCTTTCTCTCTCTGTCTTTGTTAGTTATATTTAACTTTTATACGTATATTTTATATTTTTGCCAATAAACGAATATAAATCAATATTTGCTTATGTTTATCAATGCTTATTCATAGCAAAAAAGGCCATTTCAGGATGTTTTACTATTGATCAAATTCAAATAATTCAGTGAATCAAACCGGAAATTAAATTTTACAATTTATAAAGCATTGAAAAAATTGAATTTTATTTGCTTATGAACGATATAAATCAGCATGACAAATATAATCTATGATAAACTATTTCAGATCAATTTTTTTCAATCTGTTAAAAAAAAAAAAACAAAAAACGTGATAGTACCAAAATTTTCAATTTATAACGTAAAATAAGACGTGGAGCAAGATACGGACGTGATGATAAATTTACACGTGTATCGATTTTTTTTTTTTGAAAGATTTCAAGTGTTAACAATTAATTTAGTCCTCTGATAAATGGTTGACCTTTTTCATTTTCAAATTAAATTTTTGATTTGTTAGCAAAAATATTACTATAAATTATATTTATATTTGAAATATTAATTGAAATATTATATTAAAACATTAATGTTTGAAAATATTTGAAATATTAATTAATCGATTGACAATATTAATTAATCGATTGACAATTTGAGTGCTAAAACAATAATAAATTAACAGTGTTAAAATTTATTTTATCATTTTATTATTTGCGCTAACAATTCAGAAGCCCAAAAATTATATGAAAAATTTTAATTAATAATAAAAGTTAATAATCTTAGATGAAAAAAGTCAAACTTTAGTGTAATTTATTGCTAATAAATTACAAGCTTATAAGATATTTATTATCATTTCAATTAGTGCTGATAAGAAAATTTGAAAATTTTTCATGCACAAATTTTGATATCATATCATTTAATTTGTTATCATTTATTGATTTTTATTTCATTTAATATCAATTTCATACTTTTTTTCTTTCGCATTCATTATATGCTTCAATAATAAAATTTTTTTGTTTCAGGAAATAGTTAAATAATTTGAAAAAAGTATGACATATTTTGATATTATCTTTTAATATTTTCCCTTTTTTTTTCGTTTTTAATTTTTCAAAAAAAAAAAAAAATTTTTTTTTCTTAATTTAAAAAAGCAAAAATGATAAATTTTTTAAATAATATAAAATATTATTGAATTTTTCTTCTTCTTTTTTCACTTCTCACTAATTTATGCTTATTTGGTTTCATGGTATGCGCAAAAAAAAAAAAAAGAAAAGAAAAATGCGCCTTTCTTCCTTTGTATTTAATATTGCTTAATGCTATTTCAAGCTTGCTTTTTCCATGGTTACCTTTTGAAAATATCAAATATACCTAAGAATGATTGAAATAGCCACCTGCCGTTAATTGATAAAAATGGACAGAAATTTATTTTTTGACTATGAACTGAGAAATATTTTTGCATTTTTATGATCAAAATTGAAAATGGCATTGTCATTTTTAAAATGGATAAAATACTAATAATTCTGACAACGAAAATGGAAGAAGCAATTTTGGTTAACAAATAATCAAAATGGCTAAATTATCTTTTCTTGAAATGTTGTATCATCCATAAAAGAAGAAAATACATTACTTAGTTACCACTTATATTCATTCTCTTATGAATTTCAGTAAATTATAACTATTTCAAGAAAAAAAAAGAAACGAAAAAAAAAAAATAATAAAACGAATTGCTAGAAGCCAAAATCAACACTTTATCGATCGAAAAATTATTTGAAACAAAAGTTACTTTTCGATGTAAAACTATGGAAATAAAAATACAACGGTGAATCGAATATTTATAATTCAAAAACTTATAAAATGGTTTTTCGAATTTAAAAAATAAACGGATAATTTTTTTATTTCTAAAAATAAGAATTTCAAAATTTATCGGAATTATCAGAATTTTGTTTTATTCAGAATTATCGGAATTGAATTTTATTTTTATAATAATCAGAATTTTATTTGGCTATTTTATTTTTATCAAATCTAGTATATTATATAATCATACAAAAGCATGGAGAAGACAATAAATTCATTAAATTCATTTATTTGAAATTTTAATTTTAACTCTTAGAAGATTATGAACTTAATTATTACTAGTTCTATGTTTTGTTTTTTCTGTACAAATAACTGAAATATTAACAGCATTTTATAAATAAATATAGTTTACAATGGTCCATTTAGCTTTTTCTATATTTTATAATTAAAATAAAAAAAGAGAAGACGATAAATTCATTAAATTCATTTATTTAAAATTTTAATTTTAATTATTACAAAATTATTAACTTATTTATTACTAGTTTTATGTCTTTTTTTTTCGGTACAAGTAATTGAAATATTAATAGCATTTCATAAATAAATACAGTTTACAATGGTCCATTTAACTTTTTCTATATTTTATAGTTAAAATTAAAAAAGAAAAAATGATAAATTCATTAATATAAAATTTCGATTTTAATTATTACAAAATTATTAACTTATTTATTATTAGTTCTATGTCTTTTTTTTTGTACAAATAATTGAAATATTAGCAGCATTTCACAAATAATTACAGTTTTAGATTGGTCCATTCGACTTTTCCATCATTAAAAGTCATCAAAAGCAGCTGGTAATGACCGTTCGTTTTGCCTTGTCCCTGTCCAATCCTCTCGAGACACATCTGCTTCATTTCATGCAAATCAATATAAATTGCTTCGATCAAAATCATCAAATTTCTTCATGCATTTCAATTTTTACTAATTTTTGCTTGTTAATAACAATAAATGCTATTTTATTCAAACAATTACAATAATTACTTTTTTTTTTTTAAAATATTATCAAAAAATTATTATAATATCATACAATTATAACTGTATATATCATTTCTTTTTTTTGTGTGTGTACAATTTGAATATTGTTAACAACTTATCATAATATACAATTATTATTATTATTTTTTTATTGCAGTAAATATATATTTAAATAATGAAATTTTATTATAGTAATAATTGAAAAGTTTATCACAATATCATAATAATTTAATCATAATAATAATCAATTTTTTTTTTATCATATGTTATTTTCTTTATAATATCATAATTAAAACTAAAATTGAAATATCAATAAAGGTTAATCATTTTTGTTAGTGCTAAATAAATTGTAATGAATTGAAAATTGTTGTGATGGAACACAGTTTGTTGTCAGAATTGTGGCAAATGAAGCAATGGAAGACAGCTTGCGGTTGACAATTATGCGATTTGGAGCTGAATGACATTATAAGGCATTGCTACGGGCAACAACATCTGTTCATTTCATTTTCATTTCATTTTCATTTATAAAGTAAAGAATTTTGGTATTTATAAGCATAGATTGTTCTCACTAATTTTCCAATTAATGCAAATTTGTTTTGGCTAATTTTGGCATTTTTTTTTTCTTCTACCGTAATACCCACTTATCATAATAATTCGTGTCAAATTATGGTTAATTATGATTATCAAAAAGAAACAAATTGAAAATAACTAACTATTTTAATACTACTAATGAAGTTAATTAAATATAACTAACTTTTTTTTTTTTTTTTTGCAATGATAAGTTTTTGTAAGTAAGAATTGAATGAAAGGGTGATTAAGCGATGAAGAAATACTACTATATTTTGCATAAATGAGCTTTAAGTAATCACTAACAAACGTAATGCATTCATGCTAATTGCAGTAGTTCAATTGTCAACTGAGATAGGATATTGAGAAACGGTTGTCGACCTCGGGTGACCTTTTTTCCCCTTCCATTGGTCCACCTGCCTTCAATGTCTCACTCCTCCTATTAACAATACTACCATTACAAGTGGACATCTGCTCTTCCATCTCTAAAATCATTAGAAAATGTACAGACAACATTTTAGAATAATCTCTTAAAAAGTGTTTTTTTATTCATTTATTTTTTTTTTTAATTTCAACTTTTTTAATCAAAAAAAAATTAAAACTAATTTTACTAATCCACCATTATCTATTCATCTTCAATAATATCCTTAAGACTTTTTGCTATACATAAATAAGCTTAATTGTTATTTTCTATGCAAAAAAAAAGAAGAAAAAACAATACTCAATGATCAAATCGTTATCATTTAATGATAATATTGATAGTAATCAGATCAAATAAATTTTAATAACAACTGCTATAAGCGATGAATGCATAGATAATATTATGCTACACTTTCTATCAAACTATTATAGACTAATTAAATTTCTTGAATTTTATTTTGATGCGTGAAATTTATAAATTAGAATTGGAAATTTCAGTAATTAATTAAAATTGCCAACCTCACGTGGTCCTCGGTAGTATAGTGGTGAGTATCCGCGCCTGTCACGTGCGAGACCCGGGTTCGATTCCCGGCCGGGGAGTGACCTCTTTTGTGTGAACTATGAAATGTTATGCGCGTCATTCACTGCCTTTTTCGACTCTTATCTGTATGATGATAATGAATTTTAATCATGATAAAAATGATAAAATTAGCTATTTCCATTAAAAATAATTCCATTTTAGTTTTAATTAAAATGACCCGATATAACTGATGGTAATTTGAATCAAATTTTTCAATTTACATCAAAGCATTGCTAAAAAAAAAAATTTATTAGTATATCAATTTATAATTATATTTTATAATAATTCTAATTTTAGACCACAAATAGTCCAATAATTAATAATTATATTAATTCCAATTTTACATCACAAATATTTAATTTTTCAAATAAAACTTTCACTACAATGTAAAATGCTTACCACAGCATAATCCTCGGTAGTATAGTGGTGAGTATCCGCGCCTGTCACGTGCGAGACCCGGGTTCGATTCCCGGCCGGGGAGGTCAGCCATTTTTGCAAGGAAAATATGTGCATTTAATTTTTTTTCCTGTTTTTTAAATTTCAAATTTTTGTTTGATAAAAAGAAACGAAGAAGAGGAGAGAGAGAAAAAAAGGAGAGATTATATTGAATATTTCATCAATTATGCAATAATGATTAGTGTGTGAAATTTTTGCAGCTGTTTTGTATGTGAAAAGAAAAGGATAAGAAGATAAGAGAAGAGAAGAGAAGAAAAAATTAAAAAAAAAAAAGAAGAAAAAAGAGGTGAAAGATGATAATAAATAGGAATGGTAGAATTGATTGCGTAATAATCTCATGGATCGATCATTTGCGAATTCACTAATGAAAAAGGTCATTAATTAGAAATGGAATAAAGAAAAGAAAAAAGATGGTTAATTTATACTACTGATACGGTAGTAATCTGATTACTACCGTATCATTTCAACAATTTTCTTGTTCATTTGTTTTTAATTTTTTTTTTTTTTTTATAAATAATAAAAATCATCGAAGAAAGTTTTTCTTCGTTTTTTCTTTTTCCTCTATTAAGAAAACAAATGTATTAAAAATCATTTCTTTCTTGGTGGTAATATTGATAAAATAAGTAATGATGATAAATTGCTATTGTTGATGATAATAATTATTAAAAATAAATGATGTACTGTTTATTTATGATAGTGATGATAATGTGATACTAAAAATTATAATATACGATATTAAAAATAATGATTAATCATGTATAACATTTATATAAACATTATCATCATTGTTATGTTTTGTTGTTGTTAATTTAGAAATTTTAGTTTTACCTTTTTTTTTGCTTTTTCTCGATAATTTTGTGGGAAAAAATAAAAGAATATGAAATGAAATATAGTAAAACTATGTATGTGTATAAATAACAATACATGAATGATAAAGAAGTAACGTCATATGGTGGTGGCGCTATATGGATTACATTAAGCGCCCCAGAACAGATTGCTCATAAATCTTTACTTGTCCGCAACCACTCATTTCATACAACAAAAATACCATTGCATTTCGACTTCATCCAGCAGTAATGTGGAACATATGGGAAGAAAATTGGTATTGAAAAGAGAACAGATTTCAATGCAATGACATTTTCCGCTTTCGCGCAATATGGTCTAATCTTTCAAACCGAAGAGACAACAACAACAATAACAACAATTAACAAACAACAAATAACAACAAAATGCAAGCATTGGTTAATATTTTGCTTCTAAAGGATCAACAAGAAAGTTCTCGTCAAATTCTGATCGTTGATCAAAGTTCAACTTTTCGTCTAATGTACTAGTAATGATAATTCAAACAATTTTTAGTCTCTCAATTAAAATCAATTAAAAGAAATGATAATACTAAATTAGTATATATTTTACAAGCGCTTTTCGAAATGATTATTTTGCCTTTTTAAATTAAAATTTACCAGTGATAGAGAAATTAGAGAAGTTATTCTTAGACTTTAAAAAAAAAGATGAAATTAATGATATTTTGTCTTTGTTTTTAATCTGAAATTTAAATAAAGTGTAAAAGTTTAAGTTACAGATGGATTTTTGAGATTTGTCGTAATTTATTTTAATTATTTAATAACTGAAAGTTGATTATTATAAACGAAAATTATTTGATCAACCTAGGGAAGTTAAAAACTTACAGACTTTTTATCTGTTGATTTACATTTTGCCTAATTTTATCTTAAACTTTTGATAATTTTTTTTTTGCTGAATTCCTCATCACTACTTTTGAGAGAAAGAATATTTAATAAAATAAAAAAGAAAAAATCAATAAATTATTTAATTTAAACTAACAAATTTAATAATTTAAATAAATCAAATAAATTGAAGTTGAAACTATAAAATTTAAATGAACCTAATAAAATTTACAAAAATTCAGATGTATATTCATATAAACAAATGGTGCTTACTCCAATTTCTTGTCTCTTTTTTTTTTTTTTTGATTTCTTAAATTTGCTTAAGAAGCCAAACAGACGGTTTTTAAAATAAATCCAGATACCAGATGGTATTTGAAAATTTCGAACGGATTTTCAAAATCCTTTGATCTTCACTTCTTTTTCTTCTTCTTTCTTCTATTTTAGCTTAAATTTAAATTTTAATTTAAATTTTCACTAGCCAGAATGCAATTAACATAATTGTTTGACATGAAAAGAAGTTAAAGATTAGAGCATTTTCTTTTTTTTTTTTTTTTTTTTTTGATAATTAATTTAGATGAAATTTGGATGAAAATTTGAACCGCCTTCATGGAAAATTATTCATGAATGATTGGATGGGTTAGAAATGGGCGAAAATAAGATGGGTTAATGTTGTTGGTGGGTAAATATAAACTGGGTGGAGCAAATCAAATATTTTCCACATCTTCCAACAACAAATTACTAAGAGAAAATGGGTTGGAGGAATACGGTGTGAAGTAAATGCTACTAGCATATTTACACTTACTTAACATTTACTTTTGGGTAAAAAAATTGGAACGAATGAATTTTAATAAAATATAATTTAGAGAAATTTTTTTTTTTTTTGGATAACTAAACAACATTTTATTTTAATATTTTATTTTTTTTTTTTTTTTTTGCATAGGAAAAAAAAAGCTGCAAATTAATTTTAATGCATTACTTTTTTTCCTTCGTTCTTTTTTTCGTTTTTTTTTTTTTTTTTTTTTTTTTTTCTTGGAGTATTAATATTTTTGAGCATATTCTATTATTTCAAAAAAAATTTTTCATTTATATTAGATAAGAAATTTGAGACACTTTTGGGATATTACTAATGAATAAATATCGAAAAACATTAATTGATCTATTTTTTTTTTTTAGTGTAATTATTTTTTGAAATATTTCAAACTTTTATTTTTTATGAACATTTCCGCATATTCATTAATGTATTATTTATTAGTACAGTGAAATTTTTCCTTTTGGTAACTTAAATTCTATGAAAATTGATTTTCTGCCATCTTTGACTTTTTTTTCCATTTTTTAATAAGAAATAAATGACAGATATTTAATGCATTTATACTACTTTTCAAGGCTTTATTTTTGTTTCTATTCAAGTTATACTATATGTAGTCATGAAAATTAATTAACTAATTTAATTGTTTTATCAAATTTTGTCGCTTCTTTTATTGAAATTTAAAATATCATTTATCATAAATGGAAATTTTTTTTCAGGAATTGGAATAATATTGGCAAATGTTGCGATAATGCTTCAAAACTATTAAAATTCGAAATGAGAATTATGAATATTTCTCATATTATATGGACGATTTAATGCATAATTATATAAAAATTGTGACAAAATGTCTATGAGTGATTTCTTGGTGCAACGTATTTTGGGTCTTAGGCCATCATCAGAAGTACCCTCAAATACCGTAAATGAGCGGAATGCATCATCGATAACGGTACCAAAGGTATCATCCGGAATGCATAATCTTCACCTTGTCACCAATAATCCGACCAGCCCAGTAATCGATTATACAACAGCATTGCAACTTATGCAACTGCAAATGCTTTGCCAGCCAGGCCTTTTAAATTCATTTTTAAGTCAAATGGCCATAATGGGACAAGCCATGAACAGTAGCAACTCGAATAAGGTACGATAAAGTAATATAATGATTAGTCTAATCAAAAAACTATTAATTAAACTATATTTTTTAATCTGAACTTCTAATTAATTATTACAATTTTGTCCTTATATTAGTAATATCAGTATTTACCTAAAAAAAAAAACCTTATATTAGTAATATCAAAAAAAAAATACTTTTTTTAGACTTTCAGATGATATGTTATATTAAAATTTCGATTAAAGCAAAAAACAAGCATTGAAGTTTGAAAATAAAAACTTTCTTTCATCTCTACTAGAAATTTCTGCCCACATTTCTACCTAAGCATAAGTTTAAAGAATTTTCAAAAGTGATGGAATTTATTTGTTATCAATAATTAATGATTGTACCAATCATATTTTTGCTTTTAAAATACCAAATTTTATGATTTGCTAATAATTACGAGCTTCATTTTAAATTCAAATAATACTTACTATTTGAAAGATCACGAAAAATGCACTGTAATTTTGCAATAATCACTTCAGAAATTATAAAGTTTATTTCAAAAAATTAAAACTTATAATTATTTTAAAAAAAAAAAAAAAAAATTATGAAAAAAAAAAATCTAAGCATTTCATGAAATAAGAAGTTTAATTAGAATGAAAATGAATAAAATAATAGGTGAAAACATCAGTTGAAACATCAACGGATAGTTGCGTGGTACCAATACGTGAACGAAAACGACTTGCGTCACGTTGCTCTGATGATTTATCTTCAAAACGATCCAAAGTAATACGACGTTTAGTGGATGATTCAGAAACATGCTCACCTGTTTCGGGAATGTTTATAAAAGTATGTTTATTAATTAATTTTAATATTTAATTAATAAATATTGTATATTTTGATAAATGAAAAAGTTAATTAATCAAATTATTTATGGTAAAATGATAAGATGTAAAATTCATTGTATAAATGATGAAATTTATGCAAAAAGTTAAGAAAATTAAAAAACAAAACTAACTTAAACGTTTAAGAAAATTTAATATTTTGAGAAAATTAAAATAATTGAACAAAAAAAAAATATTATTCCTAAAAAGAAATTTTGGTTTAGATAAATTTAAAAAATTTGATTATTACAGTACAATATTTTTGCTTTCTTTTTTGTTTCAGAAAAAAAAAAAAAAAAAACAAAGCTCAACTATTTTCATCAATTTTTAATAAAATAAAATTTCATTAATTTTTGAAATAGAATTTTAGAAAAGCGCAAATTGCAGGAAGCATCATCTTTACCGCCACCTGATGAGTTACAAGCAGCGGCAGATTTAGATGAGACTGCTGTTTTTGTTAATGTTTCGGAAGAAAGTCGACGTAAAATTGAACAAATTACGAATATCATTGGTGATTGTATATGTGCCTTGTGCAAAGTAATCATTTAATAAAATTTTTGAGTTTAATTTATTTTAATTAAATTACATTGGTTAATTATATTTAACTTATTTATTTAATTCTTATTATTATTTATGTATTTATTTGAAGAATATTTAATAATGCATTTTAGGTTTTATTTCAATTTTCTTTTCCTCTTTTCTACACTTTAAAATTTTGTTTGAATGCTTGGAAATTTACAAAAAAAAAAAGAAAAAAAAAATTATTATTAAAATTTTTATTCATAAAATATGAAAGTTTTATAGCTATTTTTAAAATTAGTAAACAACAAAAACAATAATAAATATAAATAAATCAAATTTATTAGGTTCGATACGACGACGTATTCCGATTAGCACAACATCGATGTCCACGTATCATTCATGAAGAATATCGTTGTCCGGAATGTGATAAGGTTATCATGATGAATTATCACTTATTATCATATTTATAAATGACATGGAACAAATTATTAATTACTAATATTATTAATTACTACTAAATAAAATTATCTATGTTTATTGAATAAATTTTGATTATTAAATAAAATTTTTAATTAGATATAAGTTTATTAGAGAGTCTATTAGATAAAATTATATATGATCAAATTATTAATTATTAAATCATCAATTACATATTGGACAAAATTAAATATATTTTTCAAAAAATAAATTTACAATTTCAATCATTAAACTATTCCATTTAATTCAATTATTGTTGAAAATTTCTGATAATATTCAAAAATAGTTTAACTTCCTTTTTTGCTTGTTTGTTTGTTTGTTTGTCTAAGCATAAACCGAGAAATTTTTCATTACTTTCATTTTATTTATTTATTTTTTAATTTCATTTTTTTAAAGAATCTAACTAATAACATTTTAATCTTTTTTTTTTTTTTTTTTTTTTGTTTATATGCCAAAAGAATATATAAGATTTTAATAAAACAGTGAGTGGAATTTATTATTTTATTAGATTTTAATTTCATTTTTATTTTATTATTTAACTTTTTTAACAGATAAAATTAGTCTTTTTTTTTTACCTTTTTTTTCCTTTCTTTTTTTAAATAAGCGTAACTAATCAAAGAATATAAGCAAGCATATCTTATCATCAAATATGACTAACAAATCATGTAGTAACCAAATAAACTGACCGTTTGTTCATTCTTTATCGCATCCAGAATCCATAATTAAGTGGCAGGTGCATGCGGGGAATTGGATGGGTTCAGAGCGGTTGCTTACCCATTTGGGTAAGCAAAATGCAACTGAAATGATGATAAAATAATGTCATACATCTAATTGTTGTATAAAATATAACATTTAATGAAAAATTAAAAAAAATAAATAAATAAATAAAAAGATAAAAAAAAAAAAGTTAAAAAGATAGGTCAAAATGAGAGATACTTCTTGACCTTACCACCCACTGATTATTATTCGTTTGTTTTTGTTTTTTTTTTAGGCTCTTCGTTTTTTTGTTTCTTTTCTTTTCTCTTCTAATTTTTTTCAAGTATCCGTTAGCATTTCTTTTATCATTTTACCACCCATTGTTAAAGAAATCTTTGATGAACGCATAATTATTGTATACTTTAAATTGGGTTAATTCTAATATTACATATGTATATTGTTGATTAATCATATTAGAATTTGATATTTTGTAAACAACAAATATCAATAAACTCACAAAGTTTGCATAATAAATTCAACTTTACTTCTTTTATCTTATATAAAGCAAAATTATCTCATTTCATCAAAATATATCGCTTTTTTTTTACATTTCGGTGTTTTATTTTATATTTTGTTAATGTCTTATAGATTCCCATATTAATATAACTTTTTTTTTTTCCAAAGTATAAACAAAAATTTAAAAATAATATATAGTAAATGATGAGGTATTTTAGGATTCTCTTTTAATTGATGTGTGATAAAAAAATAAGTTTAAATATATATAATTTAAAATGATTTTAGTTTGAAATGGTTTAGAGTAAGTTTAAATTTAAATTAATTAATAATATAACTGAATTATAAATGAAAATAACTAATGACAATTAATTATATTTTTATTATCAATGAGAAATTTTTCATTCATTTTTTTTTTTTTCATTTCAGGTATTCAGTTGTCCTGCAAATTTAGCATCACATCGCCGTTGGCATAAACCACGCGGAAATGATCCGGTAGCTGCCGCATCATCACAATCTTCTCTTTCCGCTTCCATAAATACCTTCATGTGTGCAACCTGTTCCGTAACATTTGATACTAAAAAAGCTTTCAAATTACATTCCGCACATTGCTCAACCATTCTTTCCAATAATTCTAGTCATTCTCAAAATCATTTCTTAAATTTATTACAACATAACACTTCATCAAATTTAAAATCTAAAACAGAACAACGAAAAATTTGCATATAATTAAGAAATTAACATTAAATTGTGCAAATATATTTATTAGTATAATTGAAATATTATTTAAAATTTAATCGTTTTCTTTTTCTTTTTTTGCTTATATCAAATTTTATTTCAATCTTTCTACCTCATTTGTTTAATTTCATTTTTCTCTTAATCATGTAATTAATTTGGTAATGGAATACTTACTTCATCTTACCATTTCTGATCTATTAACAAATAATTTAGCTCATTCATTTCATTACAAATAAATTCCATTTTTTTTTTTTTTTTTAAAATTGTGCAACGAGTTTTCACTGCATCAATTTGATTAATTCATAAATCGTAAATATTATAATCATTCAGGATAATCATTTCTGTATTATTTCTAGGATATGCTATTACTGAATATTTGTATTTGATCTTTTTATAAATCAAATTTTTTATCAAAGAATAAAAAATCAAGTTTTTATCACAAAAAATATTTAGCAATTATAGTAATCTTTTATCTTTTTTTTTTTTTTTTTTTTCAAACTTTTTATTTTTTAATTCATTTTGTTTTTCTTTTTTTCTTTCTCATGTTTGCTTATTTTAAAATTTTTAACTATTAATCATAATTAAAATATTACATTTTTTTGAGCAATAAATATCGATGTAAAGTTATACATATAATATGCTAATGAATGCTGAGTATTTCTTAGTCAATTGTACATATATACCAATTATTATCAATTAATCATTGATGAAGTACTAATGAACTGTAATATTTCTAATTACTATTATGTACAACTATTTGATCTTTGATCATACTAATATTAGCTATTAATTTAGCTAATATTTTTATTGTCAATGAGAAAAAAGAGGAAAGAATTATAATATTGGTAATAGTTGTAATAGTAGTAATAAGGAATGAAGATAACACCTGCTCTCATCTTTTTTTTTTTTTTTTTTTTTTTGCATTTTTCTTCAATGTAATTTTATAATGACCTCTTGTGACCAAAGCTATAATCATCGTTTCGCTTTTTTTGCATACAATAATTTGAATAACCTTAATTTACCGCAGTTGATTGTGATGGAGAAAGAGAGAGAAAGAAGGAGAGAGGGGGAGAGAGGGAGAGAGAGAAAAGAAAAATTATTTGCAATTTAGAAAAAGTATTTGAGGAAAAAGTGCAAATATTGTTGAATATTTTAAATTTAGTGAAATAAAATAAAAAGAAAAAAATTGTTGAAATCTTCCTAAAATTTCATTTTCCTTTCTTTCTTTTTTTTTTCTCTCAAGTTTATAAATGTAAAAAAAAAAAAAAAAATAATCTGATTAAAATTTTTAAATTTTACTATATTCAATGATATATTAAAAAGAAGTTATTAAATTAACCATTGTTAAATGTATCAAAAATAAAAAGAAAGAAAGGATAAAATTGCTAGAATTGAATTTTGTATTGAAATTATGCAAAGTTGCAAAATTGTTATTATTATTCATGTTACAATATATTATAGTGAATTGTATTGCTTCTGTTGAATAAATCATTCTTTTATACATTTTTTCTCTCTTTTTTAATTAATAATTATCATTTCATTTAGGAAATCAGTAATAAATTTCAAAAATGAAACCAAATTACAAAATATATTTTTAAATGAAGCAAAAAAGTAGTTTAAGTATTTGTTATAAGTTAAAATAAAAAGATTATTAGTTAATTAATTATATGATAACAGTGTGAAACTTTCTACAAAAATAATATTAAATCGTTACACTTGTCGTAATCTTTGACTAGTCAAAACTGACTAATTAATTAAGGAATTAATTTAAATTATTACTTCAATATTCTTTTTACCTTAATTTTATAATAATATATGAAAGTTTTATCTTTGTTGTATAATATCTTTCAGATAATCACTAAACTAACTGATAACACTCAAATATGTTAACTTAGCTGATATCTCTCTCAAATGGACAATTAACTGCATTAATTGCTTATTTAAATAATTCAACTTCCCTTCTTTTTCAAACTCTCGTACCGTTATCTGGTGTGAGAATAAATTGAATGAATGAATGAATAACTGAGTGATTGAATGATTGATTGAATGAATGATTGAATGAATGAATGAATGAATGAACGAATGGATGAATGAATGTTAAACATATCTAACTAGCCTTGACATCATCACTAGAACTACTACATTTAGATGGTAGTCAAATTAGACGTAATTACAGAATTCATCACTAAATACTTTCCAAGAAGTCAACAACACAACAGTATTATTAATGATGATGAAAATGGATAAATAAAAGAGAATAAGAGAGAGAAAGAGAGGGAGAGAGGGAGAGGGAAAGAGCAAAGAAGAAGAGAACTTTTTACTGTAAACTTTTGTTATGAGTATGAAATAAAATTATATTTCAAAAATAATAAATAGATACTGTTATTTAAATTGATGTTTATGCTATAAGTAAGTTTTCCCTCTTTGTTTTTTTTTTTTTTTTTTTTTCTTCCTCTTTAGATTTTATGAAATTTTTTAAAAATATACTCTAAAACTACAGAAAATAAATTTTTTTTTTTTTTTGATAGTTTAACTTTTCTTATATATGATGAATGAAATGAAAAATTAATTTTTGTTAAATTTTGAATAAAGATGACAATCATGTAATATTATTGAAATGAGCAGATGGCATGAAGTAAAGAGAGCAGAATGATATCCGAGAATATTTATATTTCCATTGAACATCTTTAGTTTTCCTCTTGTAATATTATCCTTATTAATAATTAAATAATCTCTAACGAGAAGCAATAAGACGAAAATAAAATCATTTATCATTTTTAAGATTGTTTCAATCATCTTTATTTCACTTAGAATTAATATAATTTATTCATTTAATGCCATTTTATTTTTAACGATCATTATTAGATAGAAAAGAAAAATAATTAATAAAATTTAAATGAATTATTGAACATAGAATAAACATAAAAAATTATATAATAATAACCATTATAATAAACATCATTAAGTGAAATGGTATTAAATGAATAATTAAGAAAATTCCGATTTTAAAATAATTTAAATTTATTTGTATATACATTATGCAGTGCTTGTATTAAAATGTATTCAATTTTATTCCATAAAAAAATGAATGATTTAAATGAAATTCAAATGGTTTTGCAAAAAATAAAGAGATTTCAATGCCAAAAAGGAGAAAAAAAAATGTGAAAAATTCGATTGAATTTTTTTTTTTTAAATTTTTTTTCTTAAACCAATAAATCTACTAAAAATAGTAAAATTCTTTCTGTCATTTAACATTTCAACTAATAATCAATCAAATTATAAAAAATTCTCATTGCTAAAGTTTTTGCTAATGCTTAAAGAAAGTAACACTCAGCAGTAATAAAAATGAAAATTTTAATAAATTAGCAATTTATTTCCTTCTTTTGCTCTCTCTCTCTCTCTCACATTTCATAAAAATTTTTAAAAAGTTTTTCTGTCATCAAAAAGATTGGACGAATGCATAATAAATTGCATTCTCGAATAGAATTTATTTCAATTTATGCTGTGAGGCATATCTTTTTAGTGGAAAATTAGACATTTTTGAATGAATTATAGTATTTTATTTACTAAAAGTATCATTTAAAGATAAAAAGTATTTCAAACCAAAGAAAAAAACTATAATTACTGAGCTAACAAATAATTAAGAATTAAGTAAAATTTATCAATAAAATAACTGTTGAAAAGATGTCACCGAAAAACTTTAGGATCCAATTTTCTCTTCAGAGTCATGAAAGGTTTAATTTATTTATTAAAAATCAAGAATCACTTAAAATCATGAAGGAAAAATAAGGGTACGATATGAGTAAAGTATAATGAAGTAAGTTTTCCGAAACAAAACAAAAAATGGATTCAGGTATTTCAATACAATAATACTTTCCAGTTACAATTTTTAGAAATTCTTAACTTTGCAATTTTTCAAATTTTTATACTTTCTCAAACAAATGTGTAATAATACTGAAACAGTTAAAAAAGAAAGAAAAAAAAAAAAAAAAAAAAAAAAAAAAACGAATTATACAGATAAATGCATATTTTAAAGTTCATTAATAGTACTTTATTATTGTCATTGATTGTAATACAGCAAAATCGTAAGATTTAAGATGACCGGAAAGAGAGAGAGAGAGAGAGAGAGAGAGAGAGAAAAAGCACTTCTTTATTGCTTTCGGCAAAACACAAACCGACATTGAATTTCATTAATTTCAGTTGGTTGTGCTGCTTTCTCATCGTAATCCACCCATTCCTTAATTCAAAATTATAACAATACGATTTGAACTTCATTATTTCAAATGCATTCAACAATTAAAACAATAATAATAACAGTAATATGAATGATTTTAAAAGATTTTCTCAAATTATAATCATTAATTGTTGCAATACATCAATTGATGTTTCATGATGACAACAATCAAATTATTCTATTTAATCTAATTCTTTCTTATTTAATCAAACCATTTATAATCTTAACTGCAATTATTTTATTTGCACATCAAAATTATGTAAATTAAAAGAACAAAGTAAAAATCTTTTCAGGAAATAAAAACAGAATAAAATGGCCCAACAGAAAATGAAATGAAACATCCTGTGATATCATTATAAAATATTACTTTCGCCCCTCCAAAAAAAAAAAAAAAAAAATGAAACAATATAAATATGTTTAATTGCTGTACATGTATCAATGATAAGTTAAGATTTACTTTCATAAAATTCGTCTTTAAACATCGATTATGTAAATTAAAAGAGTAAGTGAAAACCTTTTCAGTAAGATCAATATTTTCGAAAACAGTTGCTGATTCAATTCCAATAGCTTGCCATCCCGACTAAAATTATGACTTATATTATAGAAACAACATTACATAAATAAATATCAGTATAAAAACAAGCAATACAATAAACTACTAATAAATCAATTTTAAAGACTAAGCATTACGTATACTTTAGTAATACTACTTAACTCCATAATATTACAAATTATTTATTAATTTAAATATTTACTTATCCTGTTATTTAACTTATTATTACTTATTATTTAACGCTTAAGTATGAATTTTAAAATAAGAAAAAAGAACAAAAACAAAAAAACAAACTCGTGGATCAAAATCAGTTGGTTCCAAGCCACGACAATCAAATTTAATCAATTCACTGTAATCATCACTGCTTGTATACGGTTGAAATGAATCTTTGATAATTTCTGTAGAAATACTACCATTATATATCAAAAGGAATAAACTCAAATTTTAATTCATTTTCATTGCATCATATAATTAGCATATATTAATGCTAAAAAAAAAGAATTTCTTTTTTAAAAATTAAAATAGAAAATTTTGAAAGCAACTACACAATATAATTTCAAATATAACTTCTGATAAATCCTATCCTATAAAATTATCACAAGAAATTACTTACCGAGCGAATTTATCCTGCTACATAATTTACACTTTCCTAATATATTTGCAACTCCTCTGCTTCCAGGCATATTAAACTTTTCCTGAAAAAATTTCTTCAATTTGAATAAAAAAAACATATATTCATATTTTTTTTTAATTTTTTTTTTTTCAACTTCTATCATTTCATTAAACCATAAGCTGATCATTTCGCATTTCATAATTACAATCATAATTTTACAACAACAACAAACAACTTACCTCTTCAACAACATATTGCCAATGTGCTGGTTCCTCACCACAATTCGTACATTTTAACTGTAATATTTATAATTATCGCTGATAAATCTTGAATCTCTACTAAAATATATGATAAAATCTTTATGATGAAAATATGACTCATGATAGATGATAAATGGTATGTGATAAAAAATGATATATGACAAAAATACATGATGATAAGGATTTCTACAATCTAATTCTGTTAAAATTTCAGCATTAAAAAGATTAAAAGATGATGTAATATTAGTAGTAGTATTATTTTCATCAGAAAGTTAGAGTTAATATTAGACCTAATATTACTTAGAACTTAGAATTATGAATCACTCAAATTCATCGGTAATTGATAACCACCCTGCATTATGATTTGTGGAATATTCACGATAGTAGGTCAGTCACTACATATTTTTTACCATAAAATTTCATATCTATAATTTGTGTTTTTTGTTTTCTCTCTCTCTCTCTCATCAGTAATTACAACCACCTTGCAAAATCTTTTTTTTCTCTCTCTCTCTCTTTGGAATATTAAATGGAAAAATGTCATGAAACCTTTAAATGCCATCGAAATTTGCTCCAATCACCCATTGGTTGCAATGAAGTTACATTCACCATATTGGCTTTCAGTTGTAACGCAATAATAGGCTAAAAATAAATTTGAATTTTTATAGAAAAATTTATTTTTTCATAAATTGCCAAAGAAATAAAAAGCTTAGAAAATGAAATGTAAAGCCTAAAATTTAAATGAAAATAGAAACTTACCATAGCATTAACAAATTAACAAAGTGATTGTCCTAAAAAGATATGTTTAAAGTATGAAAAATAAATATAAATAAAACGTAAACAAATGAACACTATACAACTAAACAATTTAAAAAAATTTCAATCAATTCATATTTAGCAATAAATTATATTCTTTTTAAAGATATAATCAAATGAAGAATTAAAAGAGTAATTTATATCAGACAGCAATGACTTTTCAAATTTTTTTTTTTTGAAGATTAGAGATAATAACTTGGCTTTTTTTTTTTATTTCTTTAAAGAGTATTAAATTAATTTATAGTTAGCTATTAATTAAGAATTACTACTACTGATAGTGTAGAAGGCAAAGAAAATATACGAAATATTTTATGAAACATGGACAATAACAAATAAACAAACAAACAAAATAAATTTAAAAATAAATTTAACATTTCCTAATGTTCGATATAAGATTAATTTTGTGCATACCTTTTCATCACAATTACAGGTAACCGTTTGCAACACATTTTCATTTGTATTCAGAATTTTGAACATAGAAAGGACATATCATAAACACTGACAGCCAGCAATATTTGTTGGTGTAACGAAATATAAATATTTTTGTATATACAAAATACAAAAACAAAATATATATTTGTTAAATTTCGAATTTTAAATTTGTCACCTGTTAAATTTTGAATTTCAATTAGAATTCAGAAGCTTGTAGCTAGATAATAAATTAAATTAGAATGTAAATAAGTGCAACTTGAACAATCTTCAGAGATCTTTCTTATTATGTAATAAACAAAAACCTTAACGTAATATGATTTTAAAATAATTTAAAATTAAATTAATTAAGGACAAAAATGTTCTAAAAGATATACGATGATTTGCAAGATATCACAGTAAAGAAATCATCGAAAGTAAATAATGAAGTTTTTTTTTTCTTTTCATTCTCTTAATTTTCCTACAATTTTTTTAAGCAATTTGAAGAAAATTTTTTGTTTAAAAAATATCTCGCTGAAAGCATGGTCCAATCTTTTCTTAAAATCTTCAGTTTTAAACCGTAATTAATTAATTATAAATCTTTTTAAGAGCTCTAAACGTTTTCATAAATTTATTAATAATATCAAATTTTTGAAAACGAAAAATTAGCTCTAAATTTGCTAAATTCATTATCATCCATAATAACATTACATAGCAAATAATTATTGTCATCCGATGGAATCGGTTGACCAACAAGAAAGGAATATTTACATAAGTATGAAAATGCTTCTGAATGTGGACGTAACTTCAATCGACGAATTGTTACACCACTGATTGCTAGCACTCTCTGCAAAATTTCGAATTATAAATTTGAATTTGGAAAAAGAAAAGTTCGGTTAGTTTTGCATCAAATTTCTAGTAAATATTAAAAATGAATGAATTGGAACAAACCCAATAAATCAAAATTTGAGGGAGAGAGAAAGAGAAAAAAAAGCTATAGGTATTTGATGGAATACTAAGAAAATTACAGAAGCCATAAGAAATGCTTAAGATTATTTGGGTATAAGAAATATAGAATAAAACTTATTCAATGTAAAAAAAAAATGAATACCTTATCGATAGCAGCTAACAACTCAACAAATCCACGGCCATCAGCACAAGAGACAAAATATGTGTTAGATTCATGAGGAGGTAATCGACACAACTTATCAATTTTATTTCCAACCCGAATCACTGATTTTAATAATTCATTTCGAATTTTAAGTGCTGATAATGTTTTCATGACAACATTACGTTGTGTAAGATAATCAGGATTTGAAACATCTTCTACATGCAACAATAAATCCTAAAAAAAATTTTCAAAATGTCAAAATAAATTAATTGAGTTAAAAAAAAATAGATACTAAAACTTCAATGCATATTACTTACATATATATGTATCGTTTCCTTTTTTTGAAAAGATTGAGATGAATTCATTTAAAACTAACTGCATTTGCAACATGATTTAGCGTAGCTTGAAAAGATGCAAGTAACTGGGTAGGTAGATTCGATATGAATCCAATTGTATCGGCAAAAAGTATTGGTAAACCGGATGGTAACCGAAAAACATGAAGTGATGTATCCAGCGTAGCGAATAAACGATCTTCAACATATAAATTTCGTCCTGTTAATCTGTAAACTTACAAAAATGAAATATAATTAAAGAAATCGGAATGAAACAACAAATGTTCACAGAATTTTAAGATGCTATTTTTAAGAAAATAATGTTCCATTCAACCATCATCAATTTAACTGTTTCTTTTCTCTTTTTTCTTTTTTTTTTTTTTTTCATCAGAAATAAAAAAAATTGGAAGTAACCTTTTAATTAGTGAACTTTTACCAGCATTTGTATATCCAGCTACAGCAACCACTGTTCGTATGTTTTTCTGAGCTTCGCCAATTCGCAAATTAACTTTCTCTTCTACTGCAGCTTTTAAACATTTTCGTAAATGTTGCTCACGATATCGTAAAACTTCTAGTCTTTCGGCTCTAAAAATTCATCTGCTCAAATTTATCCTCCCAGATATTGAAAATGTTCATATTCAGTTTCTGTTTGAATAAGACTACTACGCCGTCAAATTAATATCTAATAGATCACTGTGATTAAGAAAATTTTTTTTTTTATGACATATCAATCATCCTAATTATTTAAAAAAAAAGAAATCTGAATTTTTAAATCAATAAAATTAAATCCAGCAAGCAAACTTTGATTTCTCGGATGTATCGAGATGAAGAAGAGATGGATCCACATGCAATTCATACATAGATAATAATCGCTGCCTGTAGAAGAAAAAAGAAATATGTTTCAAAATTTCTTACAAGTAAAATTTGATATAATCTAGAATATTATAAATGCAAAAAAAAAAAATAACCTTATGTAAGGAATTTCAGCAAGTTGAATTTGCAATTTAGCTTCCTTTGTTTTTGCAAATATTTTAAAAATGAGCAATACTATATTGTAACGATCATATACTGGAGTACGAAAAATTGATGTCAATTCAGCCTAAATAAGATCTCATTGAATTTCATTTGAATTTTTAAAAATATCAAATTTCAATTATTTCAAACTGAAAAACTTAAAGACTTGAAGTAAATGCTGGTAGGATGAATCACAAACAAAATGACTGAACTTTGTGTAAAATTATACTCCCAGATAACTCAGAAAAATAAATGACGTCCCTACTTAACAATTCGAATATTGAAAAAGAAAAATAAAGAAAAACCTGTTGCTTCGGTGATAAAATATCAACATCAATCATTAGTGCTGTAGCAGAGATTTTTTCTTTGAGAGCAATTATTCGTTGAATACGTCCACTACCCCAAAGACGTTTCTTTTTAGTAGAGCGATCGGTGCTTACCGCAGTTGTTCTGCAACAAAACAAATTCAAAATAAATTTAAATCAGATCGTCCAATTTACTCAGTTAATAAATTTTCTTAATTAAAAACTCACATAAGATTCTTGTTATTACATGAAAATGTTAAGTGATTTTAAAAATACTACCAGAATAAAGCAACACATACTTCCGTCAGTCTAAAATTTTTTTATTTTCATTTTTTTTTTTATCATTTGGACTATCGTGACAATTCCATTAAAAGGAAATTAAATGACCGTTTTAAGGTGTATACTCAACAATGTTAAACCTGAGAAATATTTTGTCCAATCAATAAATTAGAAAACTACTAAAAAAAAAAAAAGAAAAAGCATATTTAAACTTACTGAACACATATATTTCTAAAAGGAATCGTTTAAAGTTTACTATTAAAAAAAGCAAAACTATCGAAATGAAAACATACTCCATAACTTTGAAATTGGGCAAAGTATTGACCAATGCAACTGCTTCTTCCAATTGTAGCTTAGCTCTCTCTGGATTTAAATCAAAGAAACGTCCTCGACGTAATCGTGGATGAATGAGTAAAATACGTTGTACCCCGGGCGCTATACTTTGTATGCCATATGATTTTGAAATAATGTTGAATTCATCAGTCATTTGCATGGCTCCTTCCGGTATCATCGTACAAAAACGACGTCCGGAATACAATGGAACAAAAATTTTTGCAAAATTTCTGAAAAAGAAAACTTGAAAATTGTTCAAATCATTAACTCAAAAAAACATTATTCACAAATTCAACTATTCATCCGATGCATAGCATATTCTATTGAATATTATAAATGAAGAAAATAATAGTAATAAAAAAAATAGAGTTTGACTGACAATCTTTGGTAAAGATCAATTTTAGCAACCAATTTCCACTCATAGTAATATCTTTCTTCTAGTTTACTTAAACTTTCGGTGATATATATTAATCTCACTTCCTATATCAAAATAATCATATCGTGTTATGATATCTCATAAATGAATTACTTAAAGTAATTATAATAAACATACCTTGAAAAGGTCATATTTTGAAGTAATTTCATGAACGATCAGTGATTATTTTCGATAGAAATTATTGCAACAATTGTTATCAGTCTTGATGAGAAGTATAAATAATGACTTCATTAATAATATCAGCATAACCTCAACAATTTCTTTATAGCAACGATGAAAAATAAAGTTAATACCCACTCAACCTCACCTATGATTTTTATTTACTTCCATAGAAAATTCCATGTATTATTTTTTGATATTACTTCTTGAATTTCAGAAAAGTATACTGATAAAAACAATCGAATAATTTTGAAATTTTGCTTTTTTACGAAAACAAAAAAAGAAAAAAAAAAAAGGATGAATTGGCAAACATTTTTATTCTTATAAAACACATTTAAACATTTATTAATAAATAATGCAAATAAATTGACAGTGCATGCGAAGAAGAACAAAAAAGAATACCCATTTTCCAATAGAATATCACAATTTTTTGAAGCAAAGAAAACCACAGTTGGAATAAATACAAAGAAATATTTGAAACGAAATTGTTAAAACAGCAAAAAAGCAAAAATGACTAAATACGAATAATAATTTGTATTCCATATATTAGGAAAGCAATATTCAGGCGAATAATTTTCAAAAAATGATATTTTCACTAGCAATATTTGACAAAGGCAGCGCTGGAAATATAGTGATTTACGATCTTCCAAAAGAAAAGGAAAAAAAAAAGTCGAAAAATAACTACTTTCTATATTTTTTACATGAATAACCAGCTATAAGATAACAGCTAATATAGATAAAGTATCAAATATATTGCAGAAAAAAAAAACTGATTTTCGGATAAGGAACTAAATATCACAAATTATAATGTAATCAGTCCTATGTATTCATTTAAAATGAATGAAACTTATCTTAAACTAAAAATCAGTAAAACGGGCAGTCGACGTAAATCACAATGTCATTTAATGCTAATGCTAGCAAAATTGAGCATGATATCAAGTCAATAATAATGTCTTCATCAGAGTAAGGAATAAAGATGAGATAAAAGGTAAATAAATAAAAAATTGAGTTAATCAATTTTAAATTGAAACTTTTTTTTTTTTGATAATCGAGCAGAAAATATCTATTAAAGCAAGTAAAAAAAAGTGGAAATAAATTTAACAAATCAATTTAAAAAAGTGCCGAAATTTCTGCATTTTTATGTCAACGCAGGTTCTGATCCAGAAGTAGGAGTTGTAGAAAATAATGTAGAGGAGGAAGAAGCTTTATCCAAACCATGTAAACTTTGCAAAACAGCATCGATAGCTGCCATATCTAGACGAGGTTTTTTAACTTGAACATTTGGAGAGCTGATACCGGATGATTCACTATAATATAAAGATTTCGATTCACCGGAACCAGATAAAGGAGAACAAACAGACGTTGTAGATTTTGATGATACTGAAATTTTCGATGAAGCAGCTATCAGTGTATCAGCTTCCGAACAACTGCTAATATTTTTTGCTGAAACACTGCGACCTAATGAATCATTATGTGGTGACAAATCAGGTTTTAGCAATTGTGACAGGAGATCCGGCGTTTTTGGAATTGGCAAATCCAGAATTCTTTTACGAGTGCTATGCTCCTAGAATAAAACAAAAAAGTTGCAAAGTCAGATTCACATGAAACATATTATACAAAGGTTAGCAAATGAAAAGTTTAAAAACTTTGCTTTTTACATGGCAACAATCATCTTTTAAACATGTAATATTTAATAATGGAAGTTTATGGTAAAAACTTATTTAGATCTATTGTCAATATAATAGCAATTTTTTCATTGGGATATGAGAAGTACTTCTGGATTTCTTATAAATAAAAATTTCACTTTTTTAAAAGAAAATTTAATGAGAAATGAGGTGAAAATTGTTACATACAGATGAATAAGTATTCTAAGACAAATGAAATATATAGATTTTGATTGTTTGCTTTATATACAGTATGGTGTAGAGTAAAAAAACTTGCCAAAGTTGAAGCAGATACACGTCGGATACTTTCCACCTTGCGATATTCCTGTTTTAATTTTTCTTCATGTTCATATTTTGTCCGTATACGTGTTGCTTTTTCTAATACCATACCAACTAAAGGAAAGAATTTGATAAATTATCAACAATAAAGAGATAAAGCTATATTCTTACTCCTATTAGATTGTAAATATTGAAATTAGTGAATGATTTAATGTAACATATTTTCCAAATTTTCCACTGATCTTTAATAAAAAAAAAAATCGTACAATTTATCAAAAGAAAGCTCTTACCTTAATAATTTTGACAACAAACAAAAATTTCAGCAATATAACTAACAAAAAACATAAAAAAATTAATAAATAATGAAAAATACAACTAGGAAATCTAACCTCTTGCTGAATGTCCACCACCAACCAGCAAATTTTCTCTTCCTTTGTTAACTCCCGACACTACCTTTTTTTGCAGTTTACTTTCCAACACATCTGTTTCGTCTTTTCTCGATGTACCTAAAAATACAATTTTTTGTATAAATATTATCTTTAGAAAAAATACATGGAAAAAGTTGAGCATTTTACGAAATAGTTAAACTACGACTTCAGGTAATGTCTGTAGCACAAAAAACAAACCGTATAATTTTTTTTTTTTTTTTTTTTTTTTTGTGGACAGTGTGAATTCTAAGCAGAAGAGTTGAAGAAGTAAATGAATGAATCACCTGGTTTTGCAGCAAGGCAATTAAAAAGATCGTCCAATGTATCCGGTCGGTTTGAACCACTTTCCTAGAAGAAAAAGAATAAAAAATGTAACAAATAAGGAAGTAATTAATCAGAAAAGAATTAACAGAATGCGATTTAAACAATTTGAACTCCTATTAGTTCTCATTAATCAATGTTGGAAAACTCTGATATATATATATATATATATATATATATATATATATATAATACCTTTGTATTTTTTGTTGCCTTAAGATCGGTACAACGCTCTGATTTTTCCCTCTTCATACGATAATCCTCCTTTGTGAATTTCATTTTCCCAGCAATTTTCTGAGTAGAAGACGATCTAAAACACTCAGTTAATTGAAATTTCAACACATACTGAACATCTATTAAATTTTAACTCAAAATTATCATTTTGTTGTTAAAAATTGAAGGAAAAACGCTACCTCGTACGGCTTTCTTCACACTTTCTTTTCATCTCTTCCTTATCTGAAATCTTCGTCATTACCTTCAAACTATCATCATCACCAAATAGTTTATCTAAAATGCTTGCTTCATTTACTTCATCATTCTTTGAGTCGAACTGCAGAATACTTCTTAGCTCTTTTTTTGATTTTCTATCTTTAGATCTTTCTTGTTGCCTTTTTGAATTGCAACTATTACTTAATTTATCATCCTTTCCTTTCATCTTCTTCAATTTCTCACGATCCTCACGTTCTTTGCGTCGCTTTTCACGCTGTTCTTTCTCACGTACTTCACGTTCCTCTTCTTCCCTTCTTTTTCGCTCTCTTTCAGCTGCTCTTTTTAGCTCCTTTTCTTCCACTTCACGTTTTTGTCTTTCAATTTCCTCTCTTTCCTTTTTCATTAAAAATTCCTTCTCTTTTTTTCTCTTTTCTGCACTTGCTCGTGCTTCCTCTCGATCTTCCTCGAGTTTTCTAAATTTTTCTTGCTTCTTGCACTGCTCCGATAATTTACATAAAGAATTACTTCCAGCAAGAGTACTGTCACTTTGTCGATCATTATCTTTTACTGATGAACTAACATACATCTCTTCCAATTGTCTTTTCTTATCAGGAGAAATTTTAGAATCACTAGTAAAGTCATTACCAACCAACTTCTGTTTCTGATGTTTTCTTTTTTTCTTGTCTGTAATAAACTTTACTGAAGTGTGACGCTCACGATAACCAACAGTTAAATCTTCATCTCCTGAAATTTCATTCCTATCTTCTAATCCTTTTCTATTTTCTCTTGATGATGTAGCATGAGTAGAATCTAAAAATTTCCATTCATCAACCTTTTGCGTACGCAAATTTTTGCAATCTTGATCATCTGAATTCTCGAATAGCAGATCGATTTCTCGCTCGATAAGTGATTTCGAAGTGAATTTTGTATTCTGTACAGTTCCTTTATCTTCCACACACTTGTCCATCTGATGACTGGTAACGGCATTACTATTAGTGGATAAGGGAATATTAATTTCATTTCGAACTTTCGCCCTTAATTCTAATTCAGCAGAAGATGACAATGGATGTTTAGTTTCTTTATCTTTCAGCTTTTGATTTGTTGACTGACAAATTTCTAAACTGTCCCTTTTTAGCGCTTCCTTCCGCTCTTCGTTTTCTACGGCTTTTTTATTTGATTCATCACACAATTCGGCAAGTTTTCTCCAGCCTGCAGATATTTCTAACTTGCCCGTTTTCGTTTTTCCAAAAGAATCGTCACTAGATTTTGTCATATTTTTTGAAGATATGAAAAAACCTCGCCCAACACTATCAACTTCTCTTTCGGTTTCCTCAATCGGTAGATAAGGACATTCTACTTCGACCCGATCTCTGAATATCGCACTTTCAGCAATCACCTACAACTTTGCATAAAAAGAACATCTGCTGGCATAGAATGTGAATGATGTTACTTAGAAAAGATGTAATCAACCGTATAAAAAATCTGCATAAAAAAAAGCGATATAATAAAACTCCGTGTGTGCTGAACTTCGGTCTTCCGCATCAAAAAATATGTTGAATTCTAAATTTACACTTTAAAAGATGGAGTTGAATGATTATTTTGCTTTAGAAAATATGCAAAACATTTTTACCGGTTTCTTTCGCATAGCTTTCGGTTGCAGTTGCAGACGACGGAATTCAGTTTTCAAAGTTGATGATGCTTTCGAACTCTAAAGTAGATTTTTTCAATTAAGAAAGAATAGGGAAGAAAAAAGTAAAAATGTAGAAAATTTTCAAACAACCTACGGAGGTTCCTGGCACTACGGAAGAGTTTTCCTGGGTTTTGAGCTTAGTCGGTGTGGAAGAGCACAACGGTTTTGATTCTTCGATTGCCACTGAATGAGGAATATTATACAAATTTTGGCTATCGTCATCTCTTGGCTCATGCTCCTGAAGGAAAAGAATATTGAGGAAAAAGAATATTCTTGAAAAATTAATTAAGCGTAACATTGAGTGATAATTTCAATGAAAGATTTCAAGAAATCAAACAAAGGATAATAAACGTTACCATATTATACATATTAATGCAACTGAAATGCTAACATCTCATTCAAGCAGAGTGTTTACAAAGTCAGATACAATCATTTTTTTTTTTTGTTGTTTCCTAATGATAAAACGAATAAACTGAGAAATCATAAAGACTGCCTTAAAACTACAGATTGTTACTGAACATCTCAACCTGCTGAGTATCGTTGGACTGTGATGATACATTAAAAACCGCTTCATGCAAACTCTCCGTATTATCTGAATTCGGGAAAGAGTCGAAAAATCCATCCGGAAAATCTTTTTCGATACTCTCGATAAGCTCAGCAAAATTTTCATGCGCCATACAACGATCCAATGTACCAACAGCATTTTCATCAATTGTAATCATTGATAACTGACATAAAAATACTAAAGTAAACAATAAAATCTTGTTGAAATAAGCACAAAAAGGAAAAAAATCGCACGATACTTAATGAAAATCTACTTTTAAACTTCAGTCAAATTTTGAAATTGAAATGAGACATTGAAGCGAACCGCGGAAAGTGATGAATTGGGATCAGTGATATTGCCACTCCCATTGTCAATAATTTGTTGAGCTGTATGCACAACTGGCTCAACCACTTCCTTCATGAATTCTCGTCGTCTGGTATTTATACTCACTGGCTGGGCGCATTTCCTACAAACATTTTACAAGATAAAAAATTAGGCAATTAGAAATTAAAACAATAAATGCTGTCATTGACAGCTTTAGCAAACCGATAACTGAAATGGAAATTTTCACTTTCATTCCAGTTCTCGTACTATTATCTGACAACATTGCAAGATAAAAATGAATTTAATAACTGATACTATTTTATCCCACTTATATTATTATATACTACCTTGGCAGCAGAAATAAAACCTCAAAACATTTTTTAATCTCCCTTACTATTTATGCCATCATAATGATTCATTTAATTAACGTTAAATTATTAGAAAATTACAGGTAGAATTTCTAGCACCTTCTCGTAGAGGCGGATCCGTTACTATGCTGACTGGAAATACTGGTCGTTGAATCGACGTTAGTGGCAAGTAACATATTTTGATTTGATTCACAAATATTTAACTCGTTGGCTGTTACTGATAAATTTTGTTGTGAGCGACTGAAATAAAAGTGAAATAAAAAACACTGCATTAATTTTGAAAAAGTAAATTCAAAATATCAGTCATTTTAAAATAATCCCATCTTAAACCAAATTATTACATCATTTATAGTAACGCCAAAGAAATTTTATAAATTAATTAGAGCATAAGAACTAACGATGGTGTTGAATGTTTGCCATAAAGCAATTTCTGCGCATCAGACCAATGTGCACAAGCATTTGTTAATGATGTAAATTCGTTCGCAAGTGAGCGAAGCCTAACTCCAAAATCAAGCAAGCCTGGATTTAGACCAAAATTACCATATTCACTGAATAACTGAAAAAAAAAAAAACACCAAGTCAAAGAACTACATCAATGTCAAAAAAAAGACAGTAATAATGTCTCTTGTATCCTCAGTCAGTGACAAAACTATCTAGTAAAATAATTGACTGCAACCATTAATTAACAAGAAAAAAAAAAAAAAACTTAAAACTGAGATATATTGAAAATAGAACAAAAGAATCAATTTCACCTAGATGTATTCCTTCATAAATAAAATAAATCATTGAACAAACATACAATGATGATTTCTTCTAGATGCTTGCCATGCACAGTATCACCCAAAACAATGGACATCCCACCACATTGTGCTGCATGAAAAATTGATGATTCATTCATTAAACATTTCAACGATTCCCAATACTAAAATATAATTAGTAACAACATTTAGCAAAAAAACAAAAAAACAAAATAAGACAAGTAATATTCACTTCATTAATTCGTCAAATATTTCAGAAAATGTATTTTAAATTATTGACATATAACTTAATTTTTAATTACTGACATGTAACTCATTTATGATTAGTATTTCATTTCAATAAAGAGTATTAATTCAGTGAATAAAAGAAAAATTGAAATATGATAGTAAGGACGACAAAATACATAAAAATGGAAATACAAAAAATAAACTCTAGGTCAATATAAAAGAAAGAAGCTATAAGTTCTGTTACTCAGGAAAGTTAAGTAAAACATACCAAATCCAAACAAACTAATTATAAAAATAATATCTGTTAATGAAAACAAAACTGATCAAAGAAAAAGAGTACAATTTGCTGATTATAATGTTTTGTTTAATATGATAACTTGATGTTATTAATATAAATTAAAAGATTACTTTTTGTCTACCAAGATATCCAGCTACAAGTGTATCTATCATTTTACGTACGTCATTATTTGTCGATATTGATTCCATTCCTTCCTTATCCGCGATGGTTTAAGTCAATTTACCTGAAAGACAAAAAAAAAAAGAAAAAGTAAACTGGTATTTTTATCATTTCGTACAAAATAAAACAAACCACTCAAATAAAAACACCTTATATTAAATGACAATTATACAATATAATATGCAAAAATGTATGATTTAATTATGTAAGTGAAAGGTCACGTACGTGAAGTAAAAACAATTAACTAGAATTTAATACGCTTAGCAAAGAAATCAAAATAATCAAAAATGTCTAAAAATTCTCCAATTTAAACATGCGCCTGCAACTTTTCATTTATCATATTGCAGCGCAATTGTCACAGTAAAACTTTAGCAATCGTTGATAAGTAAGACAGCAGGGAGTGTTTGTGATATAGCATTGAAATGTTGGAGATGTTAGAGATTGATAAGAATAGACAGGCAGAAGTGAGAAATGAAATAAAATTAAGAGAAGCTAGATTAACTATGAAACTGATGTAGGACAAAAGTATGATAAATATGTGGAATGGCAATGATTTGGAGAAATAGTATGGTGATAGAGATTGAAAAGACAAGCTAGAGAGTAAGATGAATGAGAAGAGAATATTATTAGATTATTGAACATCGTTGTTATTTGTATTATATATAATAGAAAATAATTAAGTAATGTTGGAATATTTCATTAGAAGTAGCAAATTAAAAAGAAAAAAAAAAAGTTTAAATATTCAAATATATGGTTATAAACAATAAAATTGATGTGAATTACAAACTGAAATTTAAACGTGAACAACATATTTTGTATTTCTTCAATGTTATAATAAAAGTTTCGGAATAGGGCTTTAACATAATTTAATATGTTATACCAATAAAAAATAACGTATTAAATTCATGTCAGTTTTATTGTTTATAACTTTATTTATAACTTTTCATCTCTTCTAATATTTCAGATAATTTCGTATGCGATAATTATTGATTATGTCTGGCAGATGTCGTTATAAATTAATCGATATTGGTGCTAACTTATGTCATCCAAGCTTTCGGAATGATCTAAATGAGGTTATTGAACGAGCAAAACAATCAGGTAATTTATTAATTTATATTTTAAGAAATTGATTGAAATAAGAATGAATAAAATATAATTGTACGTGAAATGTTTTGTTGGATTGAAAAGTTCCACTATCTCATTGTCTCAGAGTGACCAGTTATTCACTGGAACTTGTTTATTGATGAATAGAGAAGAATGTCATAGAGATATAGATATGATATAGTTTAGTAAATATTTATGCAAATCTTCAAATAACAACAAATTGCGAAAATAATTAGGGAACTATGATTTGTTATGAAAAATTTCATTAGTATCACATGATATGTGCATTAATGGTTTTTTTTTTTTTTTTTCTTTCGAATAGTTTTTGTTGTTTTCATTGCAGGTTTGTGCAAAATAATGATTACGGGAACATCGGTAGAACTAAGCAAGGAAGCTCGAGAACTGGCACGACAGTTTCCAAATTTTCTCTTCTTTACAGCAGGTATTAGGATGTCTTAATTTTTTGCAATTTAGTAGGCTATTTGAGCTATTCGAATTGCAATTTATAGGTAATGAATTTGTTGTAACTTATTCAATCATAAATTATCAAGTTTAATAAGTTGTGATGTCGGAACACAAATAAAGTTACATTTGCTTTTCTTTTTCCTGTTTTTAAATTGTAATCGAATCTTTAATTACTATTAGCGGTTTTAATCAACAAGTATATTAAACATTTTTCGGCAAAATAATCATGTTGAAGGTGTCCATCCTCATGATGCAAAAGACTTTGATAATAATACAATATATGAACTAAGAAAACTATGCAATGAACCTGGTTGTGTAGCAGTAGGTGAATGTGGTCTGGATTTTAATCGAAATTTTTCACCACAAGATCAGCAAAAGTTGGTTTTTGATGAACAGGTGCTTAGAAATAATCTCTTTACATTTATGTATGTTTTTCTCTTTCTTTATAGATTTAAAGTATGTTTTGAAATGTTTAGCTAAATTTTTTCCTAAAGGCATTTCATTATATGTTCAACAACTGCAATATCGTTGCATATGTAGTTAAGAAAAAAAAAAAACTTCACATCAACTTTTAATGTGTTCCATTTTTCGATCGGTCATAACGTTAAATCTGTTTTAAACTGTCGTTAAGTAGTTCGGTTTGAAATTTCAAAGTTTGTTAATTTCGAATTCGTTGGTTTTTTTTCTTTGAAATATTTTCCAAAAAGGAAATTACAATAATTTCTTTTGTATTATTTGCATATTACAGCTTCGATTGGCATGTGATTTGAAGAAACCATTATTTATTCACGAAAGAGATGCACATCAGGATATGGTTGCTGCTCTGACCAGGTAATTTGATACATGATGTCATAAAAAAAAAAAAAAAAACATTTCCCACTAATTTTCCATTTCTAGTATTTTTTTTTTTATAAGGTATAGAGCTAAGAGATCATATTCGTTTTTTTTTTTTTTTTTTTTCAAATTATTTATGTCAGGTATAAAGAACAATTACCTCCAGTGGTTATACATTGTTTCACGGGTAAAGCCGTAGAAGCTGAAACGTATATTAAGATGGGCTGCTATATTGGATTAACTGGTTAGCATTTTGTCGTTGTCAAAAAGTAATGAAGAAAATAATTTCTAACCATGAGAAGAAAAAGAAGACAGGAAATGCAATGGAAGATTGAAACGATTGTACTTTTCATTATTTTCCCGTTATTATTGTGTTGGTATATCACTGATTATTCCTCACAATTGGAAGTAAAATCATTCATTTACCGTACACAGTTTATTTGAACTTCAATTATTACCTGACTGTTAGAGTTTTTTTTTTTTTTTTTTTTTATATATATATATATATATACATAAATAAAAATAAACAAGTTTTCATCATCATTTTGAATTAATTTTCTTTTTTTTTTTTTTTTTTTCTTTCCTTTTTATTGTAAAAATATCGCTCATGTGGTTGTCATTTGTGTCTATCAAACGATAAATTTAATTGTCTTTTAAAAATGGCCATATGAAATCTGCCAAAATTCTCAGCGCTATGTTTCTTAAAACTAGTTTTTGTTACAGGTTTTTTATGGAAAGATCGAAGCGATAATGGTTTAAAGTATGCATTGCGTCATTGTAGAATACCATTGGACAGAGTTGTTTTGGAAACTGATGCACCGTTTATGTATCCGAAAATTGATGACAAGAAGATTCCATTTGAAATTCGTAATTGCATCACGGATGAAGCAAAAAAATTTCATAAATTTGCATCATTTAACAGAAATGAACCATGTACTTTAGCGGCTATTTGTGAGCTTATTGCTGCTTATATGAATGAAGATCCAATAAAAGTAGCTAATATTACTACGGCAAATGCTAAACACATATATGGTCTAGAATAAAGAATATTTCCTTCTTCTTCTTCTTCATCGCAAAACAATTTTAGAATACAAATTGCAATAGGGAAAAAGAAGCAAAAAAAAAAAAAATATGCTCTATCATTTTACCATGAATGATTCATTTAAAAATTGTGTTGTAATGTCAATTATTTGATTATTTGATAAATTTAAGGAAATCTTATACAAGTTATAATCATCAAAATTTGTTGGTAATAGAAATTAAATTTGAAATGACGAATAAAACTGAAACTTGAGTTGATAATGCTTAATTATGATTGATAATTTCTTATAAATGCTACTTACTTACATTTATAAAGTATATATTGATTAATTTAAAAAGTGCACAAAATTTTGGAATGCTGAAATTTATAAAAGGTAATTTTAACGATAGCTTCTTTTCTTCCACATATGTGTTTTCATCGAATATTCTTATATGGCTATCAATAAAAGTGCTATAATAACTTATCGAATAAGTGTTATCATATCACATCATATCAATGATCCTATAAAATATCAATGTAGAATGAATTTTATTATTCAATTAATTTTTTTTTTTCCTCTTTCCATTAAACTGCTAATATTTGAAACATTTAATATTAATTTAAAATAATAGTAAAATTTCCGAGAATTGTAACATCTGCATCTATTCTAGTGACATTTATAGAATGAAATTTCCAAATTAAATGAATTCAAAAATTTAAATGTAATGAAATAATATGAATTTGAAGAAAATTCTATAGCTATCGAATAGGAGGAGCTAGTGAAGAAACAGAATAAATAAAATTCTTGTTCTTTGTAAATTGCTTGTTTGTGTGTTTCTGTTGTGACAATTAGTATTGTCGCATAAGTCATCAGTTGTCCACTGATAATATCAAAAATTTTTTCCTTTATCTATTGTTTCCTATTATTGCTATGAATTATTTAAATTTTTTATTGATAATAATTTATAATATATTTCTTTGCTTATATATTTTTATGTTACTTTATTTCAAGTATAACATATAAAATTATTATCATTTATGTAGCAAAAAATTTTTTAGCACTTAGCATTTTTTGAAAAAAAAAAAAACATTAATTAACACTAATCAATATTCAGTAAATAGAATTAATATTAATATCAAACTTAATGATTTCTTTTTTTTCCCATTTTTCAACTATTTTTTTTTTTTTTTTTTAAATTTATGCTTTCTCAAAGTTTCTTTTTTATATATTTATATACAAATTGTATTGTAATATCTTTAGAATCATATATTTTGAAAAAAATTATTTAATTTTTACTAATTTTAACTTGATAATATGAGACGATTTAATTTCTAATAATCTGATTAACTATTTAATTACTGCTTACAATATTGATTTCCGCAGTATTATTTACTTACTGTATTCATTTTTAAAACATTTCATTTCAGTTTCATTCGAAATTTTCTTTTACATTCGAATGAACAGCACCTTGTATTACTCATTAAACATCCATCATAACATAACATAGCACCAAGCAATGATGACAACAATTAGTGACATAAAATTTTAAAAAAAGAAACGAAAGTATGATGAAAAATCATTAAAATATCATTTCAATTTTAAAAAAAAAATTTTTTTTTTTTTTTTGTTAAAAATACTTTATGCGAAATTTTCTGTCTTCCCGTACACTTCTCATTAACATTACATTTTGTTCATTTATAAGTCAAAATGTTTTCTGATGCAACAATTTATTTCAAAAAATAAAAGGAAGAAAAAAAAAAAGGAAAGAAATTGAATTACTGTAAAATGATAGGAAAAGAAAAAAAATTTTAAAATTTCAATTCTTTCAATTTTTTTTTTTTTTTAAAATGTTTATTTCCAAATATTCAATTAATTGCTTCAATTTAACTACAATAACACATTTAGTCAACTGTGTACCATTTCTTTCGTTTTAATTTAATTTTGAAAACAAAAAAAAAAAAAGAAGAAAAAAAAGTTTTTTTTTTTTTCTTTCTGATATTTATTTGTTAAAAAATTCAATTTTTTTTTTCTATTGTCAATTTGTTAAAAATTATTTAAATTTTATTTGTTTACATTGTTAAATTGATGTTAAATATTATCATCTATTTTTATCATAATTAGTAAACATTGCTGTTATACTAGTGTTAATTTAATTTAAATTTTTGATTAAATAATTACTTTTTGCTTATAATATTTAATTACAAATCGATATTAAATGTATAATGAACAACGATCATTTAAGCATTTCATTTTAATTTAAACAGTATTAAATGTTTAAAGTAATTCAGAAAAAAAAAAAAACATGAAATTATCTCATTGATAAGTTTGCTAATTATTGATAATCAAATTAACAAATTAATTATGTATTTTATTCATTTAGCAAATATATGCTTTATTAAATGATAATTATGAATTTAGTTTCACTTCCAGCACTGAATAATAAAATAATACCAAAAATTGTTACTTTATTCATCGCTCACTTATGCAATTTCTTCATTTGATTAAAAATAAAAGGTCAAAGATTAAAGATTAAGAAAAAAATTTTTTTTTAAATTAATCCTATCTACAACGCTATTTTTGTAAATCTTTTTAACTCATTATTGATTGCTAATAATTATAGTATATGTATGGATGGGAGTGTAGTGGAGGAGAAGCGAAAGGTAAAATGAAAAAGGGATAATAATCTAAGTGACCGTCACCAAATGGTCACATTAGAACCTAACATATTTGCTACCTCCTATGAAAAGCACACACACACACACACACACACACAGACACATACATAAATACACATACAGAGATCAACAGACACACACACACATACACACATACATACATACATAGATATGTATTGAATAAATATATGTCACACACACTCAACCTCATAATCAACATTTCATTACCCTCAGTATCTTCACTTAACAAATTTTAAAAGGAAAACCCATATAGCTTCTGTTACTTCTTTTCATCACACTTTTTTTTTTTTTTTTTCATTTACTGCCAGTTTATTTCAAATTAAAATTTATAGCTTAAAATTTTTTGTGTAAAAAATGAAAAAAAAAAAAAGTTGAAATTTAACAAAATTATTAAAACAACACTGTTACCTGTTTTATTTTGTTGAGAAAAAAAGAAAAAGATCAATTTTGATACTTTTTTTTTTTTGTCATTTACTGCCAGTTTATTGTTTAAAAGTTTTTGCGGAAATAAAAAACTGAAATTTAACAAAATTAACACTTTTATTTTGTTAAGAAACATAAGTCAATTTTGACGCTTTTTTTTTTTGAGATATTTTAAAATAATATTATGTTATCATTTAATGAATTCATTAATAATATTTGAAATGATTTTAAATTGAAATTTAATGTTGATTTCGAATTTGAATTTGACTTGAATTAATTCTGGAAATTGAATTAGTACTTAATTTTAATTTGAACTTGAATTCTAATACTTGATGAAAATTTTACTGGTTTATAATTTGTATGACACACAAAAATGCTGCTAAATTTTTTTCTTGCATAATGGTAATAATTCCAAGTATCTCAATAATTTTTTTATAAACTCTTTTTTTTGTTTTTTTTTTTTTTTTTTTTTTTTTTTTTTTGTTATTTGTTCGCCATTTTGTTTATTTGTCAATAATAGATTATCTTATTTGTTGTACATTTTTGTTTTTTTTTTTTTTCATTTCACTAATTATATTATGAAAAAAGTGATGGAATGAATAAGGAATGAGTAAAAGCTGAAAATGAAAAACATTGAAATATTCTAAAATAAAACAAATCATCACTAATTATTTATTTATTTATTGGAAAAAACAAAAAAAAACTAAAATTCATTCGAAAATAATTTGCTGAAAATTACTGTTTTTTCTTTTTTTTTTTTTGGCTATATTAAAATCAAAATTTGATCAATTTTATTTGTTAAATTGTTAAAATCAAATATTTGTTAATTTATTAAGATCAAATATTTGTTAAGATTTGAGGTAATGTAAAAATTTCTATAATAATCGATTCCATATTTATTTTATGCTTCCATTTATTTTCAACTTTTTTTTTCCTTTTTATTATTTACTCTCACGTTTTGTTTACTTTTCAGTTAGCTGAACGGAAATTTTGAAGTTTCAAATTTGAGGAATATATATTATAAATATATAAATTTTATTTTTTTTAAAATTGCTTATATTTTTTGAAATAATTGAATAACATGCATAAATGTTGATTGATTATTTTGTTGATCGATCTTTTCACACTGTCAATAAATAGTTTTTTTTTTTTTTTTTTTTTTTTTTTTTTTTTTTGAGGGATTAAAATTGTATATTAAATTAAAAGAAATTATCCAATTAATAGAGCATTTGAATGAAATTTTGATAAATTTGATTAATTGTTATAATTATTATATAATTTAATATGCTATATATGTACAATAATATTTAGAATATTTAATTCTTTTCATTTCTTAAGTAATTTGGCTGAAAAATTTTTTAAATCCATAATTTAGCTTATAATTCATAAGCTCTCCCATTTCTTATTGATTTCAATCCTTGTTATATTATATTATAGAATCCTTCAATTGCAATGCTTCATAAATATTTGAGAATTCTTAAAAATCATTTTAATATCAGAAATCAATTTAAAGTTAATAAAAAAAAAAGTATTGGCTAATTTTGGATACAATTTTATTCATTACATATTAAATAATAAAAAAAATTCTAAGAATTTTCCTTCTTGTTTTTTTTTTCCTTTTTTCTTTAATTTAAATTTTTGAAATAGTTTTATCGGCTTTACAAATTGCTTTCTGTCTTTATCGTTAATAGTAATTATTATTATTATTCTAATCATTATTATTATTATTATTATCATTACTATTATTGTCATTATTATTATTATTATTATTATTATTATTATTATTATTATTATCAGTCAATATCTGAAATCTACATTGTACTCATTTGTTTATTTAAATATGATAAATATTTTAGAGGAAAAAAATGCCAAGTAATTAAAGCTATTTACAAACAAATTTTTTTTTTCTTTTTTTCCTTTTTCTTTTTTTTTTTTTTTTTTTGCAAATGAGGAAAATGCATTGTTTTATGGCGATTATTTCTTTTTTATTTAGATAAAATAGAGAAAAAAAAAGCGGATAAACCGGATGAATCGCATCTTTTCCTGCCGGAACTAAAATAATAACAATTAAAACTTTTTAGATTAAAATTTTTGATTAAAAATTAAAATGAAAATTGACAAAAACGAAGAAAAAAAAAGGAGCAAGAAAGGGTGTATTAAAGAGGAAAAAGGTACAATGATGACAATGACAAAAAAGTAAGAGATGAAATTTTACTTTTTTTCTCTCCCTTTCCCTCTCTCTCTCTCTCTCTCTCCCAGTCTTCTACATAAAATGAGAAATTTTGTTTTCAATTAATGGGAGAAAAGGCTGGTTGGAGGTTGGGGGGATCGAACCCCCGCCCTCTCGCATGCAAAGCGAGCGCTCTACCACTGAGCTAAACCCCCATGGCTCTTTCGTTGAGCTTTGTCAGCTAAAATTGATATTATTATCAATTGTTATCAATAAAAACTAATTGATTCATTTTCTCTCTCTCTCCCTTCTTCTCTCTCTCTCTCCCTTCTTCTCTCTTTCTCTCCCTCTAAATTAAATGGATCATTTCTTGCAATAATTTATTATTGATTATATTGTCATAATCAAATTACAATAATTAATCATATCATTAGCAATTAACAATTGTATTGCTATCATTGATTATTATAAATTATCATTGTTAAAGTTTTCTTATCAGTAATTATACCTTACTGATATTTAGCAATTAATTTTATTTTTGTAAATTAATCAACAAACAATATTTGTAAAACAGTGAATGACTAAAAGTTCAAATGTATGATTTAAAAAAGAGTGATAAAAGCGAAATGATATGATATGATCTGATATGATAGGAAGAATTGAGAGAGAAAAAGAAAACAAAGAAAAAAGAAAGTTAAACAATTATTACAGTAATAAAATGAAAAGAAAAGGAAAGTTTACCATTGAAAATATACATGGAATAATAGAAATAGATGAATTAAAAAAAATAAAAAAAGGTGACGAATTGAAGAAACGATTGTTTGATTAATATGAAATCATAACTATCAATAAAAATGCTTTTAAATTTCAATTTTTGCCATTTCAAATAGTTATTGCTATTGCTTACAATTCTACTTATCATTTATGACGTCTGAAATGATCGAAACAGTAAAATTTTATGAATAATATAACACAAAGTTTTCTCTATATGTTTTCATTATTATCATTCAGCTCTTACTTTATATGCTTTTATCATTATCATTCAGCTCTTACTTTATATGCTTTTATCATTATCATACAGCTCTTACTTTATATGCTTTTATCATTATCATTCAGCTCTTACTTTATATGCTTTTATCATTATCATTCAGCTCTTACTTTATATGCTTTTATCATTATCATTCAGCTCTTACTTTATATGCTTTTATCATTATCATTCAGCTCTTACTTTATATGCTTTTATCATTATCATACAGCTCTTACTTTATATGCTTTTATCATTATCATTCAGCTCTTACTTTATATGCTTTTATCATTATCATTCAGCTCTTACTTTATATGCTTTTATCATTATCATTCAGCTCTTACTTTATATGCTTTTATCATTATCATTCAGCTCTTACTTTATATGCTTTTATCATTATCATTCAGCTCTTACTTTATATGCTTTTATCATTATCATTCAGCTCTTACTTTATATGCTTTTATCATTATCATTCAGCTCTTACTTTATATGCTTTTATCATTATCATTCAGCTCTTACTTTATATGCTTTTATCATTATCATTCAGCGCTTTCTTTATGTGCCTTTACCATTATCATTCAGCGCTTACTTTACATCATTGTCATCACTTATCCTCTCTTTTATATTAATAAAGATCGATAATCATATCACATTGATAATATATTATCAGTGCTAATATCAATTACTCTTATGTTATTAGGTTATAGTGAAGTAATATGATTTTTTTCTTATCAAAAATGATATCATCAATTTATTGTTTTTTTTAAAAAAAAATTTCTTAAATCATTGTTAACATCAGTTATTCTTATTTAATGTGAAACGTAATTTCATCTGTAATTTTTCAAAATTTTTAAAAAAAGTACTCATACAATTACCAATATTTCGTCTAATTTCCTTTTTTTTTTGTCGTTTGTTAATTATCTTTTTTTCAAAAAAAAAAAAAATTTCAGTATAATTTTATTCATTGTTTGATAGTTGGAATTTGAAGATAAAAATTTGATTGGATGATGAGATGGAAAAATTTTTCACTCAAATTGAAAACAATTGTTACAAGTGTTCGAGAGAGGTAAAAAATTTTTGTTCATATCAAATTTGAATTTCATATTTTATAATTTATCAACAGCATAAATTTATCCATGAAGAATTTTAACTTAAAAAAAAATGCATGATAATAACATCTTTTTCTTTTATCATTAATTTTAATTTATTTTTATCAATGACTGATTTCATTGAGCTGTTATTAAATTATTAAAATTATTAAAAAATTATTTTAAACAGATAGTATTTCTGCATTTATTATTGAACATATAATATCATACTAATGTCACATCACTTATTTCACTATGACAATTATTATTTATTGTAATGCAATTAAAATATAATTAGCATATTGATTTTTAAATTTTCAATTTATTAATTTCATTTCTTCAAAACAAATTTGATTAATTTTTTTTTTCAGCTATATAAAATTTTTATTGAAATATTCGTGGTATGTTATCATTTTTGTAATGTTAATTTCATTATGTTTATCAGCTTATGCAGCATTATTTTATTACGATACTTTCGCATTCAATCCATCAATTGTATGTTTATCTTTTCATTTTTTTACTTATTTTTTTATTTTTTCTAATTCAATAAACTAATTTTTAAGCTAAATTTTCAAAAAAAAAAAAAAAAAAAAATTGAAATGAATATTTTATACAAAGAATAATTTAAAAAGTTAATTAATCAATTCAAATTTTTATTTACATTTTGCTTTTTCTTTTTAATTTCAAAGCATAAAATTTACTTAATATAATAGATAAAAACTTTTTTTTTTTTCATTTTTATATTTTAATTGTATAAAATTAGGGAAAAAAAAAATTTCTTTTCTTTTTTAATTTTTAATTTTTTTTTCTTTTAAATATATTTTCAAATTTTATCAATAATAAAAAAATGAATTTTTTAAATTTAAGGGATTTGAAACTCGCAATACATTATTATCAAATGAACGATTAGCATTGGATAATTTGATGGAAAGAGCTACGAGAAAAGATTATATGAAATCAAGAAGTAAGCGTGAGATAAGCAATAGTGAAATACCACAAAAGTTAGCAAATTAAATTTTAATTAATTTTATTTAATAAAAATAATTTAAGTATTTTAATAATATTATAATTTTTAAAATAGTATTACTGTTTTTTGCTTTCTTTTTTCAAAATTTATGCAAATTTTTAGAAAAAGGTTTGTTTGTTTGTTTTTTGTTTTTTTTTTTTTTTAAATTTAACAGTTTATTTAAACATATTGCACAAATATTTTTTACATTAATAATTTTCAAAGTTTACAGAGATAATAATCATCGATTTGTTGACAACAAAGATATTATTATAAATAATGAAACAAAACTGGAAATGCCACTTGCTGCATGTCAACAATATTTCGTCCTTGGTACTATAATTCCATATGAAGTGATTTTGTTAATGTCAAAATTAATTTTCAAAGTACCATCATTCAATAATGTATGTTTAATTTCCTACTGTAATGTCAAATATATTTTTAAATTGAAAAAAAAATTATAATCATTGAACAAAAACTTAATTCAAATACATTTTAATTTAAAATAATTTTTAAAAAAAAAAAAAAAAAATTATTTAGATATTTAATCAGCATTTTATTTTATTTTATTTAAACAAATTTCTTATATACATTTATGATTTATTATACATATTTCAGATATATTTATTATTTATAGCATTGTAATATTGTTTATTATAATAACATTAATAATAATAAATGCTTTATTTATAATTTTTTTTTTTTTTGTATAAGTGAAAAAAGAAAGGAAAAAAAAAAAGAAAACATTTATATTTGCAGGAAATATTTTTTTTAATTTTTAATTTTTGCAAATTTCCAATTATTTTAATTAATTATTTTTAGTTATTTAATATGCGTACAATGCAACGATTATGTGCCATCGATTCAATTATTGATAGTGAAATTAGTTTGAATAATTTAAATGCAACAAATCTAAAACGTTTACCATTTTCTTTTAATCTTCCATATTATACAATGTGTTTAAATATGGATAAACCATCAAATTCATGCTCGTTGCTTGATTCTGATTAGTAAGTTTATTTATTTATTATTTTTATTCTTTTTTAAATCAGAAATATTGGTTTAGTTTTAATTTAAAATTTTAATAATAATTTGATTTCGTTTTGTTTTAAACATTAGTAATAGTAATTAGTTTCTATTCGGAAATGATGATGATACAGGTATGAATAGGTAAATGAAATATCTATTATAATTTATCCTGTAGAAAATGTATCGGAATATGTCTCGTAGAGAATATACCGGTTCTATGGTGGATATACCGGAATATTTCCTGTAGAAAATGTATCGGAATATGTCTCGTAGGGAATATGCGGGTTCTAATAATGAGAATTTTGATTTTCATATTAACAGTGAAATTATCATTTGAGAATGTTATCATCAACGATGATCAACTTTAAATGATAATTTTATACCGGATTTTATAAATGATAATTTTATACCGGTGGATATACCGGAATATGTCTTATAGAAAATATATCCTTATCTGTCCTACAGAGAATGTGCCGGAATATATCCTGTAGAAAATGCATTGAATTTATCCTATAAAGAATATATCAGAAAAGATGCTGTGGAAAATGTACCGGAAACCGGAATCTACCCGAATTTTTATTTGAACAAATAATGAGAATTTTGATTTTCATATTAACAGTGAAATTATCATTTGAGAATGTTATCATCAACGATGATCAACTTTAAATGATAATTTTAGCATTGAAATGTTCAAATCGCTTGTTTTAACATGTCAAACTGATGAGTCAGCAATTCAATGTCAATTACCTATTGCTAAACAACTTTCCAATATAATTTTTCAAAAGAGTAATGGTCCAATCGATGTTAATAAACCATTTTATTTTGCTGTTGTTTTGCCGGTAATTAATTACTTACAAATATTTGCCATAATTTTAACACTAATTATTAATTATCTATGCTAAAAATAACACATTTTCTCTCTTCTTTAATTTATTATATTGTTTAAAAAAAAATTTTTTTTTTTTTTTTGAAATTTTGCTAATTTTACAAAAAAAAAATTTATGAGATATTTAAAACTTCAAAAAAAAAAATTCCAAAAATGTTTTTTTTTTTTTGTTGGATACTTTTGCATTTTGTACATAAATAAATATTTTATAATTATAATTAAAATTTATACTTTTGCACAACATTTATAGATCATTCAATCAAATGATGGCTATTCAAATCTTCATTTTTATTCAAATTTACTTGAAAAACTTCAACAAGATTACAATGATAATGAATTGAAATTAGTTGGAGCGCAATTTGGTGTTAAAGAAGGATTATTTGTGGAAGAACTTCGAAGTGATGTACGACTTGGTGTAATTGCAATTATTTTGGTTGTACTTATCATACTGATATATACTGATAGCTTTTTTATCACATTTTGTATCACTGCTAGCTTACTATTATCAATTGGTGTCGCATTCTTCGTTTATACGGTTTGTTATCATTTTTCTTTTTTTTTTTTGAATTTAAAATTTTTTCACAATCGTTCGTTTCTTACTTTTATTTTTTTTTTTTTTTTTTCTATTGAAAAATATTAATCTCTAAAAAAAAAAATTTTTTTTATACTTTATTATAATATATGAGAAAAAAGAGAGAGAGGGAGAGAGAGGGAAAAAAAAAAACTTTAATTTATTGAATTAATTATTTAATTCAAATAAAAACATATATCATTTAAAAAAATAAACAAATAAATAATTGATGTAATTGATGATATCCACTTTTTTTTGGTGCTCATTATCACTTTTTTTTTTTCTTGATCTTAGTACTAAAATATATGTCAAATTTATCAATTTAATACTTTTTTTTTAATTAAATTATTTTTTTACAAAATTTAACTAACATTTAATAATAATTCTATTATACAAATTATTTATGAATAAATGAATATGATATAATTAATGGGATGGTGAAGAATTTCTCGGAAATTTTAGTACATAAACTGATAAGATTTAAAAAAAAAAAAAAAAATAATTTTATCATTCCTTTTATAATTTTTGTTTTTCTGAATTTTTATTTACATGTTGACAGTGATATTTTAGGACGTTTATCATAAAAGTATAAAAAGATATTTATGATAAAGAAATTTTATATTGCAAGAAATATTTGGTAGAAATTTTGTAATTAACGAATGGATAAAGAAAAGAGTTCATTTAAATTGGTCAAAAGTATCGTTTTTTTTTTTGTTTTTTTTTTTTTGGTCAATTTTTAAATAGGAAATGATCATTTTATCAGCTATCAGCTTTGTAATCACTCTCTAATATGATTGATGTTTATTTAAATCAGAAAGATAAACAATGCTCTGAAAAGATCACTAAGCTTATCAAACTAACATTTATAAAACTAATAATTTGCAAATAATTATCAAGAGCAAGACAAAAGAAAATTAGATAGTTTGTTTAAAAAAGAGAATTCTTTTTTAAATAAACTTTCTGATTTAAGATTTATCATTAGAGAATAATATTACCATCTTATTCTTTCATTTTTCACCTATGACCTCTAGGACATATATTGGTTAATTAATTTACTTTGCAAAAGAAATTTTTTTTTAAAAAAAAAAAAGTTTGAAATATTGTGAGATATAAATATTACGAGTGAAATTTATCTTATATATCTATACATATAATTTGTTAAATTGTCTAAAAGTTTTTGAAATTTAAAAAAAAAAAAAAAGAGCAATTTCAGGTAATTCTTGGGATTAAATTTTTTCCATTTTTAAATTTACTTGCGATGATACTTGTTGTTGCTGTTGGTGCTGATGATGCTTTCCTCTTTGTGTATCAATATAAGAAACATAAAGCGGTAATTTAATTAATAAATTTACTTTGCTTTTTCTATTTCCTTTTTTTTTTTTTTTTTTTTTTTTTTTTGCTTTGTTTCAACAATCGAAAATATAATTTATGGTAATTTATAACTTTGATAGAATTATTATTAAATTATCATTAATTTAGTGAGTAGTTGCTTTTTTAGTTTACATTTTATAACTTCCAATAAAATGTTTTTCTAATTGATCAAATTAATAAATAACTAAAGCATAAAAATTTTGTTAATTTATATTTTAGGATGCTAGAAAAATCTGGTCACCAATGTTATTAAATTGTGATGCAAATAATACAAAGGAAGAAAATTCTGATAAGGAAGAGGTGATTTACTAACACACAAATTAATACATTCGACTATGAAATTAATATACCATTCATTTCTCTTTTTACTACTATTTCGATAATAAGATGATAGTGATAAAAGATTAATGATAATGATAACGAGGATAGTGACAATAACAATAATGACAACGATGGTAATGAAAGTGACAGTAGCGATAATGACAATGATAAGGATGATAACGACAATAGCAACAATAACAATGATAATGATGATAATTATAATAGCAATGGTATCAAAGATAATGGTGATAGTGTGATAGAAACAATGGTTAAAGTAATAATGCTGATGGCGACAGTGACAATAATAATAATAATAATAACGGTGATAATGGAAATGATGGTGACAGTAACAATAATAACAATGACAATAATGATAGTCACACTGACAATAATAGTGACAATGATGGTAGAGACAATAGCAGCACTAACAATGAACTAACAATGATAGTGATGGTGATAATACTAACAATGATAATGATAGTGACAATAGCAATATTAATTGACAGAGGTGATAAGATGATAATAACAAAATAGTGATAGTTCACTGATATGTTACTTTCCATCACTATATGTTTGCTAATCATTTAAAGCTTTTAATAACATTTATAAAGAAATTATTCCATCAAATATTCTGTTAAGATAAAATCTGAATCAAACTTTTCAAATTTTTATTTCTATTGCTACTCGTCTTTTCCCTTTTTTGTTTATTATAATTTTTATTCCTTTTTTTGTTTATTATCAATTTATAAGAAAAGAAAAACAATAATTAATTAATTTCAGTTAATGGAATATCATCGTAAACAGGTGATATCAGGTTTAAATGATGCATTATCACATAGTGCAATTTCAATGTTTGTCACATCAGCAACCACTGCTGTCGCATTTTTTGCTAATCTTGCATCAGAGATTGTGGTTCTTAGGTTTGTGTGACATTTTTGTTTCTTTTTTTTTTTATTAATTTTATCAATAAAAAAGAAAAGAAAAATGAAAAAAAAAAAGAATGAATTAAATTCGAGAAATGCAAAATTGGTGACAGTAATTATTAATTTACATTATTATTTAGCAAATTTTTTAAAATAATGAAAGAGAAGAAGCAAAAAACAAACAAACAAACAAACAAAAGCAAATTGTCAAACAAATCATTCTATTTTAAAACATTTAATAAAGTTTGTTTATTGATTATTTTTATTTTATTTTAATTTATTTTAGATGCTTTGGTATATACGCTGGTACATTAATGCTAATCAATTATATATTAGTAATTATAATATTACCTGCTGCAATTATTGTCACTGATACAGGTGTTAAAATATTTACCACTTCGAAATTCTTTATTTCAAAATTAAAATATCGAATTGCTTCATTCTGGCATAATGCTGCAACAAATTTTGATAAAATGTTTAATAGATTAATTCCACAAATTGTATATATTATTCGATTACCACTAATACTACTAACATTTATTGTATTTGCACTATCAATTTATGCAATTGCTAAAAAACCTGGAATTCGATTACCGGAACGAAATTCAATTCAGGTTAGCGCTATTAGTTTATTTCTTCTTTTTCACTTAATTATTTAATTACTTAATTATTATTTAATTCACAAGTCTTTTCTTTTAAAATGATTATATATGTAAATAATAACATACTCATTAATAAATAAATGATAATAAATAATTATCTTAAGTAATTAATTATCATAAATAATCTAAATATGCAAATTAATTTTTTGATAGAAAATTAAATCATTTTATTTTGTTTAGTTTTTACGTTCAAATCATCCATATGAATGGTTCGATGAAAATGCTGCGACATTATTTGATTTTTCGATTGGTCAACAGCCAAAAATGAATGTTGTTGCTGTTTGGGGCATTAAGCCAACAACGTTAGTAATTAAAAAAATTTTTTTGAATAATTAATATTTTGAAATAAATATTATTTAGCAGTGAAAATTATTTCAAATTCTTCAATGAAAATTTTTCAAAATAAATTATTTGTTATTATCAATTTCAAATTGTAATAGTTTACAAAAATTATTGCTAATATAATTGAAAATTTAACAAAATTTTAAATAAGTTTTCCATCATATTTTCAAATGTAATTTGTTTATTTTAGAGATGGGAAAAGTTGATAAAAAATTTAAAAATAAATGATAATAATATATATAAAATTTAAATCTTTGTAGAACTGGAAGTTTGCTAATTCCAAATGAAAAAGGAACGCTTAATGTGGATAATGGATTTATTGATCTTTTGGCTAATCATCTTCTAGAATTTCAGGTTAATTTTTATAAATATAAAAATGAACTATCAAATGACAAAATTTAGTTTTAAGAATTTTTCATTATATATATATTTTAAACAATTCATTTCAAAAAAATTTAAATTAATGCAATTGCTAAAAGTATAAATAAAAATAATTTTTTAATATTAATAATATTTTTTACTAATTTTAGACTTTGCTTAAACAAATTAGTTATCAAACTAATCCAAAAATAGAACAGAAATTATGGTTGGATGAATTTATTAATTGGACAAATTTGAATACAACAACGGAAAGTTGCAAACTATTTGCTGTAAACCAATCTCAATTATCAACTGTTAGTTAATTACTTCCAAAAAAAAAAAAAAATTAGAAAAATAAAATAAAATAAATAATAATCTGAAAAAGCTTTTTTTATCTTTCCTAAATTTAATATTAGGTGATTATCTTTAATCGAATATTAATAATTTGTTAACATTAATTATATTATCAAATTATTATTTACAAATAATTTTACAATCACATCTTTTTTTTTTTAGTTTTAAAAAAAAAAAACTTTTTGAACTTTTTTAAAACAACTTTTCTTCCTAATATTATAGATGTTTTGAATTTTGTTTTTCCTCATTTTTTCAGCCAATATCATTTTCCGGAAATATACTTTCACGTTGTTTCCTTCAATACGGACGTGCAACATCACTTCCATCACTTGATAAATGGCAACAAAAAGATACCGATGGACCAATATTTGATAACAACGACGTCTTTTTGGCGTATTTCTTATCAACACCTAGCAAATATAATTTTTCATCTGTTTTTAAAGAAATGAAACCATTTTTCGATTTTATTGATAGCATAAAAGTGGAACGAAGTGAAATTTCAGGTGAGTGTTAGTATTATTATTATCTTACATTAATTTCATTTACGTTAATTACAAAAATTTATTCACGTAAAAAAATTATCATCTCATTGCTATTGTTTACGTTAGGAATTATTGTACTCACGTACTGTTGCTATTGTTTACGCTAGGAATTATTATACTCACGTACTGTTGCTATTGTTTACGCTAGGAATTATTGTACTCACGTACTTTTGCTATTGTTTACGTTAGGAATTATTATACTCACGTACTGTTGCTATTGTTTACGCTAGGAATTATTATACTCACGTACTGTTGCTATTGTTTACGCTAGGAATTATTATACTCACGTACTGTTGCTATTGTTTACGCTAGGAATTATTGTACTCACGTACTTTTGCTATTGTTTACGTTAGGAATTATTATACTCACGTACTGTTGCTATTGTTTACGCTAGGAATTATTATACTCACGTACTGTTGCTATTGTTTACGCTAGGAATTATTATACTTACGTACTGTTGCTACTGTTTACGCTAGGAATTATTATACTTACGTACTGTTGCTTTTACTTACGCTAGAAAAAAAAGTTATTACTTGCATTTAATAACTGAATGCATTTAATGAAAAAATTTTATTTTAATTGGTTAAATTTTTCTTTTTCTTTTTTTTTGTTCATTTGTATAAAATAATTTTTATAGGGTAAAATAATTGAGCATAAGTGGAATAAAAAACAATAAATAATAGAGCTAAAAAGAATTGAAAATTTTTTAATTATTTTAAAATTAATATTTTTTTTCTTTTTTTTTCCTTCTTCACTTTTTATTTTTCTAAATTTTATTGCAGAATTTAATGAACCATTAATGCTAACAGTAAGTGGTATAGCAAGATTGTATGATTTATTGGAACGTATACTGAATGGTACTGCTATTTCGGTATTTATTTCATTGATAGTTAGTATGATGGTTATCATTTTTATCACTTTTAATGTGATCTTATCAATTTTGGCTATCATTTGTATTGCTACAATTGTTACTGTAACTGTTGCTATTGTACTTTGGATAGGTAAGTTAAATTTTTTCTTTTTTTTTTTTTTTACAATGATTTTAATTTTTTTAAAAATGTTTGTCTTTTTCTTTTGTTTTGTTTCTTTAAAAATTTGAAATTTTTTTTTTGTTAAACTAAATTTTTTAGAATTTATAAGTATTAATAAAATAATCAATTTCAGGTTGGACAGTTAATGTTGTTGAAGCAACAATAATTGTACTAACAATTGGTATGAGTTTTGATTACTGTCTTCATTTTGCTGTTGGTTTTCGACTTCATAAAACCAGTGATTACAGGTTATTTTAATTTTTTTTTTTCTTTTTTTTTTTAAAAAAAAAAAGTATAATTTTATTTTTATATATTTATTATTTCAGTATTACATAGAAATAGATGAAATATAATAAAATACTTTGTTATCTATTAGAAAAGTTATAATTAAAAACACAATACTTCAAAATAATTATAACTGAAAATATAATACGAAGAAAAAAATTATCAATTAGAAATAATTTTGAATGAGTTAGAAATATAATATTTCAAAATAATACTTTTTTTTTTAAATTTTTCAAAAAAAAAAATATTTAATTATTTTAAATAATTAAAGCAAAGCAAAATAAAAACGTTAAACGAAATATTATTTAAAAAAGTTTTAAAAATTAGTTTTAAAAATTAAGAAAATTTCAGTGTGATTGCATCTGCTGTTGGTATTCCCGTACTTTTATCAGCTATTTCTTCATTCATTTCCGGATTTGTTCTAATCGGTGCATCAACACAAGCATTTTTTGAAATTAGTATTTTTCTTATGCTAATTACGATTATAAGTTTTACAAGTGCTGTATTTATTTTTCCATCGATGGTTACATTATTACTACAGAAATGCTCATCAAATATTTAATATTTCAATTGGAGAAGAAAATAGAAAAAGAAAAATTCAATAAAATTATAAATAAAAATGTTATTTTAATTTGGTATGAATTATTTGATAAATAATAAATAATTTAATAATTTTTTAAATGATAATACACAAACACAAACACACACACACATACAATTAAATTGTCAAATGTCATCCAGGAATTTTTTTTTTTTTTTTTTTGCATTTTATTATGAAAAATTATTATAAATTCTTTCGTTTCTTTTTTTTTATAATGCAAATTTTGATTGTTACAAAAAAAAAAAAAAAAATAAATGAAAATTGAAATATAAAAATTTGTTAATTTGTCATATTTTATTATTGTTTGAAAATAGGATGATGCTAAATGAACGGTTAGCCAAAAAAAAAAAAAAAATGAGAAAAAGTTTAAATAAAAATTAATTTTTTATTTATTAAATTTTTTATTTATTTATTTAATTTATTTAGATCACTCAAACATTCAAAATTTTTAAGTCATATTTTGAAAAGGTTATACTGTCATATTGTCAAGTATTTTATGAACTGCTTAAATTTACCTTAAATTTTACCTGTGTACATGTATTAATCTATTTTGTTTTATTTAATTAATTATATATAATAAATACATTTATTAAATAAATTAATAACAATTATTTATTCATTGTTTATAAAATGAGATTAATTTTAAAAAAATTTTTTTTTTTTTAAAGTTGTACAACAAATGAAGATCAGAATGGAAATGCAGAAATTCATCGTCTTGCTAAGTTTATTAAGCAAAATGCTATCATTGATGATTGGGAAGTGATAAAAATCATCGGTGCAGGTCAATTTGATTGACCTTTATGTGAAAAATTTAAAGAAAAAAAAAAGAATAATAACTGAAACGATGATTAATTAATTTTAGTTTAAATATGAAAAAAATTGAAATCAAAAAAAAAAAAAAAAAATTGAATTCATATATTAATTACATTTAATTGTCTTCAAAATAATAACATTTAACATTTGCATTTATTTAATTGAAATGAATGAAAAAAAAAAAGAGAATAACTAATGAATAAGTTTAAGAATATGAAAGTTTCTTTTTTTTTTTTTTTTTGGTTACTTATAATTAAATAATTAATAAATAATAATTAAATAATTTAATAGGTGCAAACGGTTTGGTTATTCGTGTTAAGCATATTAAAACACATAAAGTAGCAGTAATGAAAATTGCAATTAATCCGGCAACATCCGGTTCAATTAATTGGGAATGGAATATATTAGAAAAAATTATGAATGTATTATTTATCCTTTCATTTTTATTAGTTCACTTTTTTTTTTTCATTTAAAATTAATTATTTTATTTTTAGTTTTGTTTCTGTTCAATATTTCTTTTCTATTTAAAATTGAACAAATTTTATTATTATTATTTTTATTATTATTCAATAATTAATGAGTTTTATTCTCATTACCCTACGCAAATTCAATTTTTTTTTTTTTTTTTTCAAATATTAGCAAATTTTATTTTATTTCAAATTTATAGCCAAAAAATAAGGAAGATCGAACAAAACATTTGGTACGACGAATCGATTATGGTTATACATTTAATATGGATAAAGAAAATGTATAATATTAAATTGATTAAATTTAATTAATTTAATATTATCAATTTTAATATGAAATATATATAGTTGGACGAGAGAAGAAGAGAGTGAGAAGAAAAGAATTTATGATAAATTATTTAAATTTGTAAATTATAATTAAATTTTAGATAAGTTATATTATAATGGAATATTTGCCAGGAAATCCAGTTAGTATAATTGGTCTTTTAAAAGGTAATCAACTTTTATCAAAGGTAGCTGAATTCGGTCTTCAACTTCTTAAGGTAGTTTTCTTTTTTTCTTCCTTTCTTTTTCTTTTCTTTTTCCATTGAAGAACTTTTGCATATTTGTTAATGAAATTTATAAATGTTAAATAATAATTGATAAATAAAATTATCATTTAAATTAAAATTATGAAATTAAAATTAATTTCATATATTATTTTACACTTTTATTTGTTTTACAAAATGATGAGAGAAAAAAAAGTTCAGAAGTTCTAATAATTTTAATTAATTTTACTGTTTTACAAAATTATTTTAAAAATGTTTTTTTTTTCAAAAAAAAAAAAAACATTTCAATGAAAAATTTCAAATATAATGCTAGGCTGTGTATGATTTACATTGTCTTGGCTATATTCATCGTGATATAAAGCCAGAAAATGTTGGACTTTATAATGATAACATTCTTGTCTTGTATGATCTTGGATTAGCACGATTTTATACAAATCAAAATGGACAAGTACGAGAATCACGATGCTTATGTGGTATGCGTGGTACCGATGAATGGGCTAGTTTATCAGCTGAATTAGGAAGAGATCAGGTATACAAAAAATAAAAATTATTATATAATTTTTATCATACTAAATATTATTTGAGATTAATTAATATTGTTAATTTAAAAAAAAAAAAAAAAAATGCTATCAGATTGATTACTTTCTAATTTTTTCTTCTTTACTAATTTCAAAAAAAAAAGATTAAAAATGTAAAATTATCACTCATTTTTTTTTTTCTTCTTAATACTCTTTCTTATTATCATTGATAGGGACGAATTGATGATCTTTGGGGATGGTTTTATGTTCTCATCGAATGGATCAATTGCGCTTCTAAATATCCTCTTTGTTGGGCACCTTTTGATGATTATCCTGATTTACGTCATCTTTGTAAATCATCAATATTTCCTGCAAAATATGTTCTTCGAAATTGTCCACCAGAATTTTTCAAAATACAAGTTAGTTGCTAGCATCGTGCTTGAAAAAAACATTAAAGCTATATTATGTGACATAATTATATCTCTCACCAAAAAAAAAAAAAAAAAAAAAAAGAATTTACTAAAATATTAGGAAGATTTTAAATATAATTGCAATTTTATTTCTGAAAAATTGATCGCTTATCAAAAATTTCCATTTGTTGTTTAGAATTTTTTTCGTGCATATTTATTTATAATTATAATAATAAAAATTGCATACTAATTTATAATTAATTCTTTTTTTTTTTTTTTTTATATACAATTTTTTCTTGCATATTTATTTTATATTTATTTGCAAAATTGCTGATGTTAAAATAGTCAAAAGAATATGAAATTTTAAAATTTCAGCTTAATATTTAAATGATTCAATATAGAAATATTTCAGTGTTATTTACGATGTTTAAATCGTGATGATTCACCGAACTATTTCTATTTGGCTACATTATTAGATGATGTTAAAAAGAGAGCAAATGGTGCAAACCCTGTAAAATTTTTACAACAATCATCAAATATTGATATTGAACGAGCTGAACGTTTGTCACAATTAGAGCTTGAATATTTTTAATACGATATATGGAAAAAAAAAAAACTTTTAATTTAATCATATGTTAAAAAAAAAAAAAAAAAAAAAAAAAGAAAGCTCAGAAACAAAAAAAATATATATATGAAATTTTGAAGTAGCAAAATTTTTTTCACACATCCATTACAACACAAATATCAAATGCTAACAAAATTACCCCTTTCCTCATTTTTAACCCATAATTCTGGATTGATCAAACTTTCGATTTCATCGTCTGCGTAATTACCTAAAATAAACAAAATGGTCAAAGATTCAAATAATTACTAAAAATTAATGAAGTTTTCCGATTTTTTCAATAATTGATTTTATCTAATTTCATCTGTCATCTCTAATGATAAATATTACATATACTCTTATCTTCTTGTTCTTTTTTCTCCTTTTTTTTTTAGAAACAGATCAAAAATGAATGATATTCCTATTCGTTTTCTCTTTCTCATTTCCATATGAACAAATCATAATGTCAACAAAATGATTATACAATAATAAATAAAATCAAAATTAAACATTAACAATTGTATTTATTTTTTAATATTATTTGCAATTATTTGACTGATACTAATATGAACATATAAAATTTAAAATTTAAATCAAAATTTAAAAATCAACCTCGACTTCTACGTGGAAAACATTTGTCTGTAATATGATGCAAATCACTAGCATATTGCATACGATGATCTTCTATAAGACTTTCATCACCATCATGACATGCTTTAACATGCTTAATTACATCCGATTTAGTGATTGTTGTCCACGTTTTTTTACATTCACGACAAAAGAACATCGGTAGACGCACGTGTCTTTAAAAGTTAATAAATGACGAACAATTTTTCTTTTTTTTAAAAAAAAAGAAGATAATAAATGGTCATTTTTGTATATAAATACTCATTTTTAGTCGTATATATAAATTAATTAGATCAAATCATTTTTCATTTTTTTTCAAAAAAAAGTTATTCATATCATTGAAATTATATTACTGTTCATTTTAATAGCATTTATTTTTTCTAAAAGTGTATATATATATATATATATATATATATATATATATATATATATATATATATTAAATTTAATAAATAATGACCTCGTTTTGTCAAAGTTTCTTTTACTTTTTTTGAAATATAGTAAAATATTGGTTAGCTTAGGAAATTACTTGGAGTTAGCATGATAGATAAGTGATGAACGTTGACCAGTAACTTGAAGACCACAAATATTACAAATTCGAGGTGGTCTTGTTCGTTTCTTTCCTTGCTGCGTCAATAAATCATTATTAGCTGTTAAGCTATTTGATGGATCAACAACATCGGTTGGTTCACAACCTGTTGTTACACTGTTACCAACATCATTTCGATATAAATCACCCAAAATATTCACTAAAAAATATTTTGATTGCGATTATAATAAATAGATTTGAAAAATATATATATAAAAAAAAAAATGGCTGAAATTAAAAATTAATTCAAAAAATAATAATAATATCATTTCAAAACAAAACAAAAAATTAATTGCTTACCGATATTTATTTGATCTGAGTCCTGCTGCAATACCGAACAGTGGAATGTAGCTGGTTGTGAATCTGATTCCTTTTCCAAAGTGCTATCTTCTGGCTCAACTTCGCTGCCCTAAATTTTCTTTTAATGTCAAAAATCTCAATCTAAGTTAAGATTAGAAAGAATTAAAGCTATATTTTGATTATTTAAGCTTAATTATGAATAAAATTTTTGTAAGAATTTAAATTTATGCGAATGTTTTAACTTTAATAAATGTATTTTTGCGATATTAACATGAAATGATACTTTAGCACTTTCGATTTTTGCTTCTTTTTCGGTTTCAGTCATACGTGTCAATTCATCGGAATCCACCGGAACAGGACACAGTTCTCCGGAACTAAGCAATGATGAATAGTCCGCTATTCTTAAAATTTTGAAACTAACAAATTAAAAGATCAACAAGCAATAGATGAAAAATAAATTTTGCATTAGAAACAATACTGCAAATGAAACAACAGAAGGAAAAAAAAAAAAAACAACAACAACAAATTAAGCAAATATGTAAACAAACTTTCTTCGTTTGTAAGTTCCAAACGGAATTTTTGATACAGTAACAGAATGATGTAACATTTCTCTGATTTTCTCACGTTTACGATGGAAATCTGGTGTAACTTTATATTTCACCTAAAAGAAATATATAAAATAAAATTTCAATTCATCTGTATTTATTTATATTACAAAGAGAATCAGAAAAAAAAAAAAAAAATCTCATAATTTTATGCACCATAAGTTGGAATATTTCACAAAAAATTTATGTATAAATAGACTTGATATAAGACTATGGAAAATTATGTCATTAATGATAAATAATCGAATAAAAAAAAAAAATAAAAGGCTCTTTAGCTTTATTCAAAATCCTATTCATCAAAGGATAGTTCAAAAAGATTGAAGATGAAAAGAAATGATGTTGAATTTATCAGAAGCATCACCAAATAATCCATTGATAAGTACTCTCACATTTATGCAATTTTTTTTCTGCTTTTTTTTTTGTTTTTTGTTTTTTTTTTTTTTTTTTTTTTTTAAATTTATGACATATTTAGTTGAGAGTTATTTTAGCTGAATATTCTATTTATCGTTATAAACATTAAAAAAAAAAAAAAGAAAAAAACAAACAAAGTAATTTATTTCAATGCATAATCTGTTTAGTTTAATTTTAAACTTTTAAAAACATAATTAATATTAGTCATTGATAAATTCTATGATAAATAAATAAATGATAAACTAAAAAAAAAAACAAAAAACAAAACAAACATAAAATTCTTTTAATCCATGATCCGTCGTATAATGACTAATTAGAGCAAATTCGGTGGGAAATTTTGAAAAACGACATCGTTCACATTCATATGGTATATGAATGATATGATCAGATGCAATATGTATTTCTAATTCTTCCACAGTTTCATATGTTGGCGCTTGTAATGGACAAACAACACAACGAAACATTTCGTATTCTGGAACAAAAAAAAAAAAAAAAAAACTCAAAAAATTATTTTAAAAAAAAAAAAAAAAAGAATTAACTCAATCAATGTACTTTAAAATTTTATGTTGGATAAGATCAAATAATCAATCTCACTAATTAATATCATCAATAATCAGTATTAAACTTTCAATAATTAATTACTAATATCAAATGAACATTATCAAATAAATATTTATTTGATCTTTCTCCCATGAAAAGATTTTTAAACAATTAAATATACAATTATAGCACGCTAATAAAATAATATATGTAATAGTATTAGAAAAAAAAAAGAAATCTATATAGAGTAATTAAAATAATAATTTATTGAATCATTTATTAATTGATCAAAAAGTGATAGCTTAATAAATGATAAGCGATAAGGAAAATTGATGAAAATAATGAATGGAAAAAGTTGAATAAAATGAGCAATTATAGAAAGCTAAACTAAATATAATACCATTGAATCGATGATAGAAAGAGGAATGATCAAAAACAAATATTACTTTGGCAAAAAAAAAAAAAAATCCCAAATGCTTATTTTCTGTTGTAAAATAATCGATATATTATATATATAGGTAATGAAAATTGCAGTTTTTCATATGAAAAAGAAAAAGAATGAAAAATATTTAAAATTAAGTGCGAAATAATGAATAGCAATAACAGTAGTATGAGTTAATAAATAATAATAATAATGATAACGATAATAATATTCAATAATAATAATAATAATAATAATAATAATAATAATAATAATAATAATAATAATAATAATAATAAAACAAACAATAATAAATAATCACTAATAATAATAAATAATAATAATATAATAAATAATAATAATAAATAAGAATAATAAAAGCAATAAATAAAAATAATAAAATAATAAATAATAATGATAATAATAATAAATAGTAATAATAAAATAATAAATAATAATAAAAACAATAAATAAGAATAATAATACTAAAAAATAATAAATAATCATAAAGGGAATAAATAATAATAATGGCATTGGTAGCACCGGTATCACTGGCTCACCGGTAGCACTGGTAGCACCGGTAGCACTGGTAGTACCGCTAGTGATGGTAGTAGTGGTGGTGGTAATAGTCGTAGTAATAATAGTTGTGTTGTGGTTTTGGTTGATGCTACTCGGAGCGTTGCTGAATGATGTTAGTCCTTTCCTTTCATTTCATTTCATTTCATTCCATTTCCTTCTCGTTCCTTTCCTTTCCTTTCCATTCCTTTCCTCTCCTTTTCTCTCTTTCTCTCTCCTTTTCCTCTCCTCTTCTCTTCCCCTTTCTTTTTCCATTCCTTTTTCATTCCTTTTCTTTTCCATCCTTTTATTTCCTTCACATTCATTATAATTCAATTCATCCATTCATTCTTTTCTCTGAGGAGAGATACAGACAAAGATAGAGGAAAAGGAGGAGGAAGAAAGAAGATAATGAGAAAGGAAGAAACATAGATGAAAAAGAGGAAGAATGAAGAGAATGAATGACATATAGAAATTTGAATCGATCGATTTTGTGAAATTGTTATTGTTAATCACAATTCTTTCCTTTTTATAATAAAAAAAAAAGAAAGGAAAGGAAAGGAAGCAATGAGCATGAAAATGAGAGACAGAAGGAAAGAAAAGATTTTTTTTTTTTGAGATGAAAAAAAGAGAGGAAAAAAGAAGAAAAGGAAGAATATGGGACATATTAGATGACAATGATAACAACAACGCGACAAAATGACAATTTTCAGGGATTATTTAACTAAACAAAAAAAAAAGTACCGGTATTTTTTGAAATTAGACGAAAAGGAAGAAAGAGGAAAAGAAAAAAAGAGCAAATGATTAGGTTAATGGAACATTAACAATTTATATTAGAGGATGATTTATTACTATGGGAAATAATTTGTTTTTTTATTTATATATTATGTCGTAGTATTTATTATTATTATTATTTTCTTTACAAATGTTTCATTAAATTGTT